TTTTTTATTATATTTGCTTCGAGTTTTCGTTATGACACTGTTTGTTTTCCATCTAACATGGTATGTTATCATTAAACATCAACTATGAATGACTAACACATATTATTGTGGATCCCACAATATAATAAATTGATTTGTATTGAAAAAAAAATGAATGAATAGTTTTTAAATAATACAAAAAACAAAAATACAGAAACACTCCCAATTATTTCAAACCTTATGGATTTGAACCCTAATTATTTCAAATCCATTGGATTCAATCTTCTCTCTTCTTTGAAATCGCTCGTTTTCAAATACGCCTAAATCTCTAAAACAAATCTTATTTTTCATTGATTTTGGAAATAAACGCACTAATACCCAGAATTTTCTTCATATAAATTACAGATTTCAGTTATAATTTCATAAACCATAACCACGTCATTCACATCCTCCTCTTCTTCCTTCAAATGTTTATCAACACTATCAATCTGTACTCTTACACAATTGTTGTAATATTATATTAAAAAATTTAATTTACTTTTTTTAAAAAAGCTTGTCCATATAATGTTATATATCACGAAAAAACAAATAACGAATAATACATGACGAATAAACACAAGGAAAGCTTTAAAATTTTGAACATTTATCAATTATCTCTATTCGTGTATCATTCGTTAAGAAATATTCGTGACTTATTATTCAAACGACCAGTGTCCCAGGGATGGCACGACACGACACATTAGTCAATTACCCAAAAGACACGACATGTCAGTTTTTCTGGCAACAAATCGTTATGGCAGAAGACGTGTCGTCATCCCGTGCCAAAATATCTGAAACTTGCGTTAAGCAGCAACGCTAATTTTGAACATCCTCCTTTCCACCTTCGAACCCTAATTTTTTTAAAACATTGCAAAGCTACTTCACTCTCCACCACCACCAGTAACCCTAGATTGTATGGCATCAATTTTTCTATCAGAATCCCAATTTTAATACTCGAGGAGGTAAATGCTTGTAATTCAAGTAAAAATAAAAAGCAGCAATTTTTATATGCGTTTTTCTTTATATGCCTTAAAATATAGTATATTATTGGGTTTTTTTTTTGGTTATTAATTAAAGATCTTCTTGTTAATCGAGTTAGTTTAATTTGCACTGATATTCTTAGATCAAGTTCTAGTGTTGCATGATCCTTTGTTTGGTTAAAATAACTGATGTTTAAACATTTTACACTGGTAATGCTGATAATATATTTGCGGAATTTTTTTTAAAAAAACTCTAGTTCGGTTGTTACGAGTGGAAGAATGAAGGAAGAAGATGAAGTATAGAATGCAGAGAAGGGAGGAACAGAATGTTGGGCAGAGGAGAAGAGAATAAGAATTTGTTATAACAGAATGATATTCAACTCTGTAAAGTACCATGCCGTTACATTATGTATAGTGTTTCCTTCTTTCTGTCACAATTTGTCTCTTCTTTATTATTCTAGAACCCATAGCATAACAAGCCCGCTATCAGTATAACCCTTACTTACGGCCCATCATGTGGCCCACTCCTAAACTAAGAGCCCAGCCCGTTATACTTAAGTCCAATGGGTAACACAGCCCATTCATTCCTCTCCCTCTGTTCCAGCCCCAATAATTGAGCTTCTCCCCCAATTTGAATGATTCCTCTCTTCCCGTTTTCAGCTTCAATCTCTCTTCCTACTACCTCTGTTTTACCTGTATCATCGTTGCGATGATTTTCGTCAGTTCTGTTGTGATTTCAACATTTGAGGTTCCCACATCTTTTTGCTGTTGTGAAAATTGAAAGTAGTTTATGAAAACTGGAAATTGATTTATGAAACTTTGTCTTTTTTTTTTTTTTTTTACTTTGACTTTGGAATGTTGTTGTTGTTGTTGTTGTTGTTTTTATTTTTTATGTTGAATTGCCATTGATTGAGTTTGTTGTTTTGGATCAGGTTTTGGACAAGAATGGTAATCGCGAGATGTTGGAGTTTTTTAGCTTTTGAAGTGGAGTTCTGCAATGTTATGGAAACAAGGAGCATTGAGGTGGTTTGATGGTTCTTGAACACTCGTGTGAAGAACAAAACATTGCAGCCTGCAGAATTTATAGGGAATAATAATTTGAGTGGCTTTTCGAGAAAGCAAAAGTTACCTGTGGATGAATGTGGCATCGTTTCCAGCTATGGGTTTTTTAAAGATTCAAATGTTGTAACAATTAATGATATTCTGTCTGTTGGAGTGACCTTCTCTGCGAAATTTGCTAGCACTGGACGAAACAAAAAACAATATGCCATTTCAATATGCTAGTGGTGTTTCTTTAGCTGTTGATTTCCAATATAATTTTGGAGAAAACAATCAGGTTCATGGGGATGAAAATATAAAAACTTGTGGAGGAAACGCGAGGAACAGATGGTGGAAAACCAGAACGTTCTTTGGTGGAGATGAGTTCATCTAAAATAATGTTATGGTTGAGGGTGGTCGGAGAAATGAATCACCAGTTGATAAAAGTAAGTTGCATGTTGGAAAGTTAGCTCGAATAGTTGCTGAGAAGCTGTGGTATGAATCCTTCAGCTAAATTCCTCTGTGATTGTTTCTTATTGCCTTCTTTAAAAGGTTTATTCAACTACTTCCCAAAAATCAATGAAGATGAATTTTAATTGTTGTTTACATGCTTTCATATTGTATCTTGAAATGAAATTGTTTCTATGCATGCATTGAATATGCCATTAGACTTGGAGCTGCCCAAACAGTTTCTGATACAACTAGGAGGTCAACAACCTCTAGAGCTCCCTATGTTCCTTTTACTCCCCAGGCAGGCATCAGTGCATTTCATCAGCTGATGGCTCACGATGGGAGACTAGCACAGTCAAGACTCTCTATAGAATATATACAAGATGGTCCAAATTCGTCGACATGATTCAATCCTAACCTACTTTTCAGACCACCTCTCTCAACCCATTCATGCCAAACACTTCCAGTCCACCGTGCTGGTTAGAAGCATTGGAGACAATGATTGTTCGATAGAAACATTGAAGAAATGTTGCTTTGATGAATAAGTGAACCTGTATATAATCAGCAAATGAATATTTAGAGTTCTAGCATTTACTCAGGTTATGTTTGGTTTTTAAGAAGATTTAGCAGGCATTGAGTCAAAGTCATGCAAGTCATCATCACCTCAGGGCTCCAGTTTAAGGTCACTCTTGACCATCCTGAGCAATGCAGTTGTTCCAGGTAGCAATTGGTTGTGCATTAGGGTTTCTATTTCTTTAACTTGTTGGGGCATAAAATACGCTGGCGAAATGTTCTTCAAGCCTTATACTGATTTGGGGGGAGGGGGTGGTGGGCGGCGGCGTGTGTAGAGAGATTTACTACTACTAACATTATGGTAGAATTTTGTTCTATTGCCAAATATATGAGTGAGAAAAAAAAGCCAGGATTTTTTCCTTTTTTACTTGAAGGATGAATTCTATCTGTCAAGACTATGGAAATGAACTAACAACATTAAAGGATGCTAAAAAAAATGCAAACAATAATCCAGTTCGAAGGAGAGAAAAAAAAAAAAAAAACTAATAGTTGCAAAGAGAAGGACCAAGTACAAAACACCCAATATCCTTTCATTTTTAGAAAACATATATGTCCAATTTTTTGAAAGGATTCTCGAGTAAATTATAAATTAGTTGTTTCGTTTTAAAAACTAATCATTTAATCTATCATGTTTTAATTTTATCATTAAATCAATTATTTCATTAATTTTTTATTAAAATGGTGATGAAGTGTCTTTACTATAATATATTTTATTTCTAAATTATCTCTCTTCTGTTGTTTTATTTCTCTTATATACTTATTCTTTTTCTCTCTTCTCAACTATTTTCATAATCATAATAAAGCAAAAGTTTACTTTCTATGTTATTTTTGTGACCCTTAACTTCTTTACTCACGTCATTTTTCTCTCCTCAGCTATCTCCATTATTACATTAAAGCAAAAATTTATATTCTATATTAATTATATGACCTTTAATTTTCGATAATATGTTTTATATAAGAGAATGACGAAAAAATTATAATTATTTTGTGATCTTAATTTCTTATTTTTGAAAGGATATTTTTAACTTAATCGAAAGGATATTTTAAATATTACGTATTAATTTGATAAATTCAATAAAAATAAAATAGATTAAATGATTAGTTCTTAAAATAATAAGGATTAACTACTTCGTTTTTTCAAGATGGAAGGGGTGAAGGAGAGCTTCGGATGTATGAGTTTTCTACGGTGGTAAAAAGATTCTTTCAAACCGTACTGTACGTTTGCTATTGTTATCACGCGTTTGTTGTGAGAGAAAAGCAAATCTTTTGCTGATTTACATATAAAACACACGACAATTTCAGTCATTTATCATTTATATTCATTTCCGAAATAGAATAAGAGATTCTTCCATTTCCACAAATGTTCTTTCTTTGCAAATACTTGGTTGGTTGCACCGCAAATCTTGCCCTTTTCTTCATGTACTAATTCAATTGGAAAATCATATAACAGAGGCATATATGGATCAAATAATCAAATATTTTATATTATTTTTTGATACTAAAAAAATGAAAAATAGACAGAATATTTTAAATTCGTCTAGAAATAGAATTTGGAAAAAAAAAAAAAAAAAGACTGTACAAAGACTAAGGGGGCTGAAGAGACCATGAAACCTAAATTCATCAGCAAAAAGGATGAATTGTTGTTACTTGCAGCCCAATTAAGTATGATCCACGTGGCACCTCCCTAGTCGGAAACCTGGCAGATCTTGTGGGTCCCACTAATTCACAAAATTTCCCTCCCAGTCTCAGTCTCCTTCCCTCTCTTCCCTCTCCCCAAAATCTGAAACCCCCCTAAAAAAACAAAAAAAAAAAAAACCACAGATAAAGAAACAACAATAAATTCACATTTTTTTAGAGCTTAGAAACCAAAAAATCACACAAAAAACCAGCAGCTTAAAACCTTGAAAACAGTGTTTTTGGAAGGAAAAAATAAAAAAAATAATGAAAAACCACAGAGTAAAAGCCCTTAAAACCAAAACCGCTAAACCCATTGCGTCTTCATTACTGGAAACCTCAACGGCGGCAGATTCTTCGGTGACAGTGGACCGTAGTGAGGACTTTCACTCTGTTTGCAAATGGATTGTTCCAGATTTCAAGAAAACCAAGGCCAAGTCTTTATATAGCAGATATTTTCAAGTCAGTGGCTTTGATTTTCGTTTTCTAATGTACCCAAAGGGGGATTCTTTATCAGTACCTGGACATATCTCTCTTTATTTACAAATTAATGATCCTTGTGGTTCAAATTGTGACTGTTATGCTAGCTACGTGATTGGCATTGTTAATGTTGTGGATGAGACTAAGTCTTTGATCAGAGAGGGTGGTTACAGGTTTACCAAGAACAGAAAATCTATTGGTTGGTGTGAATATGCGGTTTCTAAGACAGTTTTAGATGCTAATTCAGGGTTTTTAAAAGATGGGGTTTTGGTTATTAGTGGTGAAATTCGGGTATTGGATGAGAAAATGGAGATTTCGAGTGATTGTAGCGAGGGAAAGGCTTATGCTTTGAATGGGAAGGATACTTGGAGTATAAGAAATTATGGGTTGTTCAAGGAAATGGTGAAGACTCAGAAGATAATTAGTTCGGCTTTTCGAGTGTGGGACGCTTATCTTGGGGTTAATATGTCAAAAAATGTGGTTAATGGGGTTGAGAATTTGTCGTTGTTCTTGGAGATTAAGGATATAGAGAAGTATCCTGTGATTGATAGGAGTTGTTAGTGTGTTTTTCGAATATCAGTGTTGAGTCGAAAGCCAGGGTTTAGTCATGTGAGCAGGAAATATTATGGGAGGTTTGGGGGAGGAGGTGATACGAGTCTTGGTTGGACTGAGTTTATGAAAATCTCTGATTTTGTTGATAAAGGGTATGTAGTGGATGATAACGTAGTGATTAGCGTATCCTTTAATGCTATTCGGGAGTCAAGTTTTTCCTTCAGGATTGAAGGTGTTTCTAGTGGTAAGTGCAAGGGGATAATTAATTGTGGCTATTTGGGTGGCAGGAGCAAGTATGGTGTGGTAAAAAGATGTGATGATTACACAGGAAAAATCATGTGGAAGATTGAGAATTTCTTAAGGTTGAAGGATATTTTGAAGAAGAAGAAGATGAAAGGTCTGTATGTGAAGAGCAGAAGGTTTCGGATTGGGAATTTGGATTTCCGTATTTTGGTTTATCCTAGAGGTAATTGCGAACCTCATTTATATTGTTTTGTTTAGGGTCTTACTTTATGCGTTCACTTTTTACATTAGGATTATGTAGTATCAGTTGGGCTGAACTCTGATGTAGAGTAGGGTCTAAAACATTGAAAGAACTGTGCTTGAATTCCATGATAATTATTATTTGAAAAAGCTTGAAATTATTCTAGCAACTCTGTGACAGTTTGCAACATGCTAGTTTGTGCATGATGTACAAATACATGAACCTGATTCATGTACAATGGCATAATATTAGTTACCAGTTGAAAATCTTATTTGGCATTCTGTTAAGAAAATGTTGGTCATAACAGCTGAGTCTTTCACTAAAAAAGTATGGCTACGCTGCTTTTCAGTGCAAGTAATAAAAACAATGAATGCAGGTGGAGTTGATGATTTATACGTCATTCTGATATGTTGAGATTTTATAAAAGCATAAAACTGATGCGACTATTTGGTAATTCCTGACGGCACCAGGTCAATCTCAAAAACCAATCCACCTTTCTGTGTTTCTTGAAGTTTTGCGTCCAGGAAAGAGTTCTGGTGATTGTAGTCCTTTTATTGTCTATCAGTTAGCAGTCAGGAATGGGAAGACGATAGAGAAGTCTGTTGTGAAAGAATCTGCAGATCGTTGCTCCAAAGCTGCAAAATACTATGGCTGGTCCAACTTCATGACCCTTACAAGTCTTTTTGACCACGACTCTGGGTTTATTGGTCATGAAACTGTCGTCTTTACAGCAGAAGTTCACATATTGAAGGAGACATTCATGACAACAGAGTCAAGCGACAGTGCTTGTTCAGTTACATGGAAGATGGAAAACTTTTTATCCTTCAAGGAAATAATACAAAGCCGAAGAATATTCAGCAAATTTTTTGAAGTTGGTGGCTGTAAACTTCGGATTGGTGAGTCGATATATTAGTCAAATTATATAAGTTTTTCAAGGTAATATCATATCAGTGGGGATTATTTTGCCCCTAATTATTCTTACCTATTATTATTATTATGCAGAGATTTATCAGTCCTCTGCAAGCATATGTGCATATTTAGGGAGTGATCCATCGATTGACAATTTTTGGGTCAGTTACAGGATTACTATGGTTAATCAAAATGACCCTGCCAAAAGTTTGTGCAAGGAGTCTTCTCTATGCATAAAGGCATATTTCAATGCCGATCTTCAATTGATGAAAGTATCAGATATGCTGGACACAGATGCTGGATTTTTTGTTCATGAGACAGTTACATTTGTTTGCGAAATCCTTGATTGCTGTCCATGGTTTGAGTTTTTTGAATCTGAGACTGGTAACATGGAAGCAGAATCAAGTGACTGCCAGGTTTATTTCTTCTCCAATTTCTGTTCATGAAACTTTCTTGGGATTTAATTAGTCAACTGAAGGCAGTGGCTTATTAATAACATACGATGTGACTTTTCCCTGTTTTACTTTCCAAGTAAAACACAGACTACGTTCTGTCAAAGCAAGTTAGTTGTTATGCTAGAATTCAATTGCCTAGGAATTGGCAAATTTGTCTGACAAAATTTTAAAGAATCACCATTTGTTTGGACTTCTGATTATGCTGTCCTTGGAATGTATTTTTGATGAGAGACGACCTTAGGAACATCTTAGGCAAAATTCTTTGCCTTCATAAGGTCTTGTTTGCCTTCAAAATTGAAGTAAAATGATAAGGAATGGATGAGATCTATTCCAATAAAGCAATAATATAATTGCAAGTGAGCGCAATTGTTATGATTTTCTGCTGCACTAATTTTTTATTGATGAAGTAATCCATCTTGGTATTTCAGGTCCTCTCTGCTGTGCGTCAAATGGACATGAACAGTGAAGAGTGGAAACAAACGTTTTCGGAAGCTTCTGAAGTTTTGGGGAGCACGCCTAATGAAGCTCTGCAACCTGTTGTTCACTTGATATTTAAATCTGCATCTCAGTGCCAGAGTGTTCCTCAAGCAGTATGCATCCCATCTTGATCAATTTGCACTGTCTTTTTGCCAGAGTATTCCTCAAACAGTATACACACCTGATGTATTTTTGACTTGTTTTATGTTTGGTTCCTTGCAGGTCAAAGTTGTCCGTGCAAGGCTAGAACTTTTAAAAGCTGAGATATCACCTGATCTGTTGGATCTAGTGAGCAGCACTATGAATAGTCAGCATAAGATTGCTGAAGTGATGTTGAGAGAAATTGATAGTGTCTTTGCACTTGCTGAAAAATGCAAACTGCTGGATGCAACTCTATGTCCACTATCTAAAGAAGTAGCTTATTTAGGTAGTGGAACCGGAACCAACAGCTCACATATGGAAGATGAACCACGTTGTCATGTCCATCATTATTTTTCTGATATCTTTATCTTGATTGATATGCTGGCTATACCTTCCCTTACAATTGAAGCTTCCCGAGCTTTTGAGAGGGGTGTTGCTCATGGATACATTGACAACCAAGTAGTGGCCTTGGTCTTGGAAAAACATGCTCAAAGATTTAGTGTGAATTCAATAGCTAGGAAGAAAAGGGCGGAGTCGTTGCTTTCTGAAGAATTTTTCACCTCAGTTCTTGCTCTTGCTGAAATATTGTCCCTCTCTATAAACTCTCAAGTTCATGAATTTGTGAAAATGTTTTATGTTACACTGTTTAGAGTGTTTTCTGATGAATGTTGTCGCACAAAGATGCTGAGATGGCTAGTAGACCATGCCACAAGCCCTGTGGAGAATTCTTCCAAAATGAATCTGGATATGTTGGTCTTCTTGGTTCACAGGGAGCATGGATTTGCTAGACCAGTTCTAAAAATGATGGGGGATGCTGTTAAGCATGCCAATGCTGATCATTCTGCTATTAGGCATCGTCTGTGTGGCATGGAGGAGAAAATTATTCATATTCAGGAAGAAAAGCAAACTGAACTTTCAAATATGTCTAGCGAGAAAGCTACTCTGTTAGAAAGGCTGACTGAGACTGAGGCTGCTCTCCTTCAGTATAAGGTACCTGATCCCTTGTCTGTGCTTATCTCCTTTTCAAATGCCTCCACATGCACCTGGTTTTGGCGAGCATATGATATATAATGTTTTACATAAAATTGGCAGTCTGAAATGGAGCTTGAAAGGGACCGCTTTACTTGCAAAAACACAGAAATCTGTGCACACATGCAAGATATTGAGACTCAACTTGAACAGGTTTGCTCCAAGCATGAAGACCATGTTACGAAGCTCTGCATGGAGAAAAAGGATTATCAAGATCGTCTTCACCACATGGAAACACAGTTTTCACATTTGAAGTCCTTAAAACACCAGGAATTGAAGGTACGGGTGTCTAGAATATATCTAACTCGGATTTTAAATTGCTAAATCCGAGAAAACATGCAAATATATTATTTTAGCTGAAAGTTGGTAATGTGAGTGTCCTTATGCTATTCTGTAGATCTGAGCGTGAATTGTGGATCACTTTGTTTAATATGATTAACTAGGAGAGTTCTGAGATGGTTTCTTAAGCTTTTCGAAGTAAATTTCACAACATTTACTGCCTAAATGTGGCTAGAGAAAGTGTCTTTTGTGGTTGCAGTTTCATGTTTCTTTAAGCTTATGAATCCAGTAGTAAAGCTTCTTTCTTTTAGTTGTTTGGTGATTTGGCATCATTTAAATATTAGTTATGTGCTGGTAGAGATTCATTGATTCCATGATTAAAGGATCAGTTTGATCGCTTGGTTTGTTAGAGTGGTTTAGGAACGGAGAGTGGAGGCAGTTTCATAAGCTTTGGGAGTTAAATTCTGGAGGCAATAATCTGTCCATCATTGGTTGGTTGATGGATAGATGGAGCGATAATGTTAAATAAATTCATCATTAAACATCTGAGAAACTGTATTCTGCTACCCCTTCTTGAAGTCGGTATACATTTGTGCTTTCTACTGATCGTTATTTCTACATTAGTGGCAAATTCATTAGTTGTTAACTGCCACAAAATGGTGGTAAAATGGCCTGATAATCTTAGTATTGGATACAGTGTTAGAAGTGTTCCATATACCATTATTTAACTCCAAAACGTTTTTCTTCTGGACGCTTATTTGAAATATGTTGTTCTCTGTGTGACTATTTATGGATTTTGTTTTTCTGTCAACTGACATCTTCCCAACAACATAAATTCTGGAACTGGTTGCATTTTCTGTCCTGAAATTTCCTCAAGAATGGGATGTTATGCAAAATCAGAATGAAACATGTAGGTGACAGATCACTATAGGTAAATCAGCATGAACCAATTAATAATGGTTGGTGGAAAGACTTCCTGTACTTGAGAGTGCTCAGACAATGAAATCTGGATTGTTGTTGTCACTAGAAAATTTTATTCATTGTCGTTTGTAGTTAATAGAAGGATGATGCAAGTTTGCAACAATAATTGCATACAATTACGTCTATTCAGCAGAATTTATCCTAATTGCCGTTTTGACCATCCCCTCCCATCATCAGCACTCGACCTTGCCCTTGAGGTGGATGACATCCAACCAACAAGGCTACAAACTTATGTAACAAATTGCCGACAGTCCTTGCTCTGTAATCTGGATGGTCTTTAGTGATGTGCTTGAATACTGGGCCCTTAACATTTGGGAAGTTGCTGAGGTTTAAATACTGAGTTTAATTTGTACATGATGCAGAAACTACTTAAAGAGAAAGAAGTTATTGCTGAAAGATTAAGACATGCAGAAGCTGATAGGGAAATTTCTGATAGAAAACTGAAACAATATGCTTCAAAAGTAGCGATTCAAGAGGAGGAACGGCAGACACAATTGGATGAGATTTGGCAGTTGAAACGAAAAGTTGAACAAATGGAAAGAGTGAAACAAGACAAGAAAGAGGAGGTTGCTCATCATAGAGCATGCACTTACGATTTGGAAGCAAAATTGAATGACTGCCGGGTTTGTTTCTTTACCAATTCTGTTCATGAAACTTTCTTGGCATTCAATTAGCTAACTGAAACAGTGGCTTACGTTTTACATATGATTAGGTATCTTTTTCCTGTCAACATTCAAAAGTAACAAATATAATTATGTCATAGCAATTAGCAAGTTAGTTTCTAGGCTAGAATTCAATCTCGTAGGACTTGATAAATCTTTCTGACAAGATTTTGAAGATCACCCTTTCTTCCGGTCATATTGTCCTTGGAATACATGTTTAAGGAGTAAATTATAAATTAGTCCCTCTAGTTTTGCAAAATGAATTAAATGGTCTTTCTTCTTTCAAAAAATAATTAATTAGTCCCTTGACTAGTGTTGACCATGGTTAATTTAATATTATTTTGTTTTAGAAAATGTCTTCTTCTTTTTTTCTCATCAATCTTTTCATATTTTTTACTTATTTTTTTCCTTTTTCTATTTATTAAAAAAATTAAATAAAAAAATTAAAAGGATTAAGTTACAAATAGATTTTAAAGTATAGGGACTAAATTAATTGGTTATTGAAACTAAAGGACTATTTAATTCCTTTTGAAAAACTAGAGGAAAAACTAGAGGGACTGAACTATAATTTACTCATTTAAAAAGAGACATCCTTGGAAACATTTTGTGGAAATTTATTTGCATTCACAAGGTCTTGTTTGTCACTGCTGGGAAATTGCTCAAGTTTTGCTCCTTTGATTAATAATATCGGGTAGAATTAGATTTTGTCTGATTTGTGGCATATTATACCTAGAATGCTTTCAAGGGTGCTGATTTGTGAATCAATAGATGTGGATATATTAATTTTTGAATTGGGTTTTCTTTACCGATGGAACTTTTGAAATTTAGGAGACCAAATTTTTCGGCTCAAGCTTTTGGACCAGCAAACTATATTTTTTGGTACATGAAGTTAATTTATTTTGATAAAGAACAAAGATCTTAATGATAAAGAACAATGACTGCCTCTCATGCATCTACAGATGGTGCATGCGCAATTGCATCTTTATATGCTTGTGATGTTTGTCTCATGGCTTTGAATTGCTTTCTTGAATATAAGTGGTGCTATCAACTGAACAATCTCTCCTGCAGAAACATATCCAATTTCTTGAAAACGCGCACCGGGAGGAGATGGAACAGCATGCTCCTCTATACGGTGTAGGCCTGGAATCTCTGTCAATGGAGTCGTTGGAGAATTTGTTGCGCATCCATGAAGACGGGATAAAAAACATCCATGCCCTTCGACATCGACTAAGAAATCAGAGCGGCGATATTATCTCGAGTGCAAATCCTCTCCGACTCAGACAGTGTGCAACCTACAGCACAATGTCCTATTGCTGATGAGAATTCTACTTTTGTCATCCCTAATGGTGTTCCCATGCATGACAATACAGCATCCTGGTTTATCATAGGTGTTAACTTTTGACTGATAGGAATCTTAATTGTTTGTCAGAGAAAGGGCTGCTTTAATCTGGTTGGCCTTTGTTGAAGCTCGGCAGTTCTTCACTAATGAGGTCCTTTTTACCATAGTTATTTTGTATAGTCAGCTGCCATCGAACTTGGAACCTCACAGCGTTAGTTGCATACATGATTATTGGAGGAAATGTATGAAGGAGATTCCAATGCTTCAATTTCTCCCTTTATCTGTTTATATGCGCATGCCAGCGTGACAGCTGGTTGAAACCACAACTTGCATTGGTTTTTGTATTCCTTTTGTTAACCAATTTCTTCTTCTTACTGCCTGACAAGGATATGGAAATCAAGCAAAAGATGCTTTCGCCATTTCTTCAGAGCTTTCCTCTCGACAACAACAGTCGTATTCTTCAGAGCTTTCCTTTTGATAATGTTTTTGTTGGGCAAGCATTTCTAATAGTGCTATGGACTATAGTTTTAAATTCTGGATATAGTTAGAAAAAAGATCGTAATTACAGATTATAAGTTGTAATTACAGATTATAACTTGTTGCAGTAATAAAATAACAACTATGGTAACTGATATAATAAATGTATTAAAAAACTAGCAATTGTTATAAATTTATTTTAATTCATATATTTTTAATAATTTTACTAATTAAGCATAACAAAGACATTTCTAATAGTTAAATTTATTATAAAAGAAAGTTAATAACACTTTTAATAATTTAATATTACACAATTAATAATAAAATATAAAAGTTAATTTTATTTTTAATCGTTATATAAAAGATAAGTACCTATAACACCATTATTTGTATAAAATGCCATTACGTTTCTTATAATGACGTATAATAATAATAATAATAAGAATAATAATAGATATATGTTCGAATTCATTAAATAACAGCGGTTACATTGCAGCACTTATTTGAAACTATGCTATTCGCATTTTGAGCAAGAGCTCTTCCACAACCCAAAAATTAAAATATCCCACCAAAAATTCCTCGGTCCATGCAACTCATCGTGTTTGCTTTCATATTTACAAAGGATATGGAAGATTAGAAATCGAGTTCTTGTCGTTAATACAATATTAATCACAATAAGAAGGAAGTCAACAGGTTTACGCATGCACTTCTTTCTCAGATTATGGATTATGCACAAAAACCTAAATGGTTTGCATCAAATAAAGCCATCGAATGTTAAATAGTTTTTTCTGAGAAAATCCACCCTCAAGTTTAAGACCTGGAGAATTCCAATACTTAACTGGAGGTATACAGAACATCATAATCCATCAGAATAACACGTAATTTGTACTGATTTAATTATCAATTAAGAACAAAGACACTAGGGTAACTGGTTGGATTCCATAAGTACAGAAACCAGATTGAGGAAGGGGAAAAAAAAAGAAACAAAAGTTGAAACTTATGTAACAGGTGGGATTCTGCAAAGTGCAGAAACCAGAGAGAAGTGGGAAAAAAGGTAGAAACTTTACAATAAAATCAGCTATCAAACATTCACCAAATAGTCTAATCAAACTCATCAACTTTATGCCAGTCAGCAGACTCAGCATCTGAATCTTTATCATGAGAAAATGACTGCCTTGCCTTACGTGGACCAACCTGAGTGTCAGAGCTTTCACTCAGCTGGACCCAATCGCTGGATCCACTCGGTGAAGGGGCCCTAATGCTCTTTGCCTTCCTAGAAGCTGATAACCTTGCTGAAAAATCACTATCATCATCCTCCAGATCGCTGAATGACACATCCTCCTCATCTTTAAGCTTTTTCTGGTTATCCATTGAAGTGCTATTGTTAATTTTCTCTTTTAAAAACTGCTTAGAATTCTCTTCATCGCTAATTTTTAAGCCTCCAGTAGCGTTTACAATCCCAGTGACATCTTCTCTAGATGTTGTATTTTCTCCTTCTCTCTCATTGTTAGAATTTTTGGAGCTTTCCACCTTCACATTCCTCTTGTTTTGCAGCTTCTGCAGAAGTACATTTCTTGTTTCAGCTATCTGCCAACAAGTCAACAGTGCAATGAGATTACATAGTCACAAGTATGAAATAAAAATATCACAGCACACAAAGAACTGTTGCCTCCTACTCTAAAGTCTAAACTGTGATCATTATTGGGATATTCAAGTTTTAGTTTCGCAAGTGACAAAAGGCTAGAAATGAACCCAAGTCCATCCAGCACATGTTATCATGCGAAATAACCAAGCAGCAGTCTGTTAATTCCCGATTAAGAGATATTTGAAGATTCAGTCTCAAAAATTTCCTTAAAAAATCAATAAAAACTGAATCAACTGTCCTTATTGCTTGATACATACAACTAGCACTGCACAATAGCTCACTTAGAATTAACAAGATTACTCTTTCAATATCTCAGATGTCTGGAACTTCAGAAGTCAGAACTTCAAAGCCAATTTCAGATGAAATGCTTTGCTCTAATGTCAAATTATGAACATCAATTTCATCAGAAAGTGTTGAGATAGTTTTGCTTCAAGTCTTACAATGTCAAATTAAGGGAAAAAGAAGTGCATTACTAAAAGACCTTACACTTTTGTTTCCAGTGGGGTGAGTTTTGATGTAATAAGGGAGCATGATTGACAATCATTCTCACTCTTACCTACGCTTCATTCTGCATATTCTCACAATTCTTCATACTTAACTATCCCTCCCTCCCTCCTCCCCCTCCCTCCTCCTCTAAGATGACAATTAAAAAACACGCGAGTGCTGTCATTCTCACATCTTTTAGCTCTGATTCTCAAATGTCAAGACTGAAGAGGATAATTATTTCCTCTAGAATCCAAGCTCAAGATTGGATGCTATAATTTCGAATGCAACTTTACAAGAACATAAGAGAAAATCCAATTAAGAAAATACAGCTCACTGCATGTTATAACAGATTATCATTCCATCAGAATTCAGATGACAAAAAAAGGGTCACCTTCTCAAAACTTTCAACTGCAAAGACATCAATTATTCACGCCAATACATTATCTGCTTATGCTTTGCTAGACACCTAGAAAATCAACTAATGGCTTCCCTTCCCTAAGACATATATTACAGCGCCAAAACATTTGAGGAATGAAATTAATAATGCCACAAAAAGTAGCAGTGCACAATACCCTTCAGCCTCTGCTTGCCAACAATTGCAAGAGTAACTGACACCAATTATGGTTTCACAGCTAGTACTGTGGCTCAAAATATATTGCATTCAAGGCAATCGCATGCAACTGCCAGTTATCAATTAATAATACAATATCTACCTATGCTCACCAGAAGTCGTTGCACACACAAAAACCATGCCTAGTAAAGAAAAACAATAAGCAGCAAAACTAGCATTACAAAGTGCCCTTAGGCCAGAACAACAATAATAACAAACTCCCATTATGATTTCTCTACTATTGCAGCAAAAGAAACCTGAAGACTACTTTTTTTTTAGTTGTTTCAAGGACTTACTTCCACAGGAAAAAAATATTTACGCATAAAAAGAGCAAAACATAAATCATATCAACACAGAAATCTTACCTGGGGAGTTGATAGAATCTCAAAATCACGTTCATTCAATCTAGGAATCAACAATATAAAATAAATCATCCAAAATTGGCCATCCCCCATTTCACTCCGAAGACTACTTCTAAGCCGTGCCAAACTAGGAACCAAATGTTCAATATTCGAGACATGTTCTCTTTGAGCATCAGTCATTCTAAAATCTGCAAAATACAAAAAAATTCTAAAATCATTTTCACCCAAAATTTAAAAACCAAAAACATTGAAAAATTATCCACTTAAAATCAATAAATTTACACAAATTTATACACAATTTAAGCAGTTCAAAATCCCACGATTCATGTAAAATCTATAATTAAATCAATTTTACGCAAATTCAAAAAGGCAGGATCCTGCACAATCTATAAATACATCAAATTTTTGAACTTCATAACAATATATATCACATTTGTCAGAAATAGTTAAAAAAAATAACAATTATTCACTACTGACAGGAAAAAAAAATTTAAAGAGTAAAATTTTTATTTTTACCGTCTTGGAGTGGCAAAGGAAAATCAATCCAGCATTCAGGTCTCAAAGAAATCTCCTTAACAAAACCAATTACCTCCTCATTAATGCCCGCCACGTCATCATCATCATAATCACCTTCTTGATTACTATTCTTATCATCTTTAAATTGCAAGAAATTAGAAGAAAGTTTAGAGAGACCGGATTTTAAACTGCCACCGATTTCTGCGAGATCGTTGCGAATCCCGAGGAGAGCTTGTGACGATTGAGGAGGAGAATCGGACGGTTGGGAATTGGCTGCTTCCGGATTGGACGGCAGTGATGGAGGTGGTGCGAGGAAGTTAGCAACGCCACGTAATTGACGGCCGATAGAATCACTGATGACCGACAATTCATCTTTAACTGATGGTGAAGAAGGAGAGTGTGGCGGTGAATCTGCATCGTTGGATTGGAGCGATTTGCAAAGCCAAGACATGTTTTTTTTTTTTTTTGAAGGTTGTTAGAGACAGAGCATTTGAGTTTGAGAATCGTGAGAGATTTTAAGGTTTTTTTTTTTTAAGGATTTTGGGGCAGTTGAAGACGAAGCTGTCTTCCTGTTGGTTTTCTGGTTTTTTTTTTTCTTTTTTCTGGTTTTGGTTGTACAGTTCTTCTAGTAGTTTTTGTTTTTGTTTTGCAATCTGATTTTCATACGGATTTTGTGATTGGTTTCGACTGGGTAATGATTAGAAGATTTTTTTTCTTAGCTTATTATTTACTAGTTAGAGTTGAGTAGGGCATTTAAATACTCTTATTAGCCGATTAAATTGGACTTAATTGACTGATTTTCAGTCCCAAACGATACTTTGACTCTCTAGTAGTCTTACATGGTTAACCATTTTTTTCTTCGATGTCGATTAAAAGAAAGATGGCGAAAAAAAAATGCTAATGGTTAATCTAAGTTTTTATTTATAATATGATGAGAAAAATATTTAGTCTTAGCATGGAAAATCAACATATGTTAGGGTGAAGAATGTAGAAATAATAAAGGAAATTCAAAAAATTCTTGAGATAAGCATTCCCATTTTCATCATAAGCCTGAATTGATTGGACGTAGGAAGTAGTTTTTTATACTGAAAAATATGTGAATCTCTTTCTTGTCACATAAACCTATAGGTTTTTTCCTCCCTTATCTTTTTATCTTAAATATTAAAAAAAAAAAATCACAAGCCAAGATAACTAACCCAATTTCCAGTTGACCAACAATATCTTTTCATATATATAGTTGAAAAATAATTATAATAAGAAAAAAGTAATTACAATAATAGTAAAAATGATAGGTGAAAAGATAATAGAAAAATAATTTTATTATAAAATAAAGTAAACACAAGAGATAATAACTTCAAACAATTTTCTCAATCTTTACAAAATATTTCTACTTAAATCAATGAATAATCAAACTTGTTTATAGGCTTCAAAATTAGAAAGATAATTAAAAAGGACTATAAACAATCAAAAATACATAAATTATTGAATCAATCTGCATTACCATTTGAATTTCTTATATTGAAAGGTGAATTAAATCACATTAAGAATTATGAGTAGTGAAAATATGAAAAGTATATGAACATTCATATGGATATTTATTATTTTATAACGCTCCCTTTTAAATGCTCATGTACAAGGAATATATTTCATTAAAACCTTACTATTAAAAACCTAGTGAAAAAAAAAATCATAGTGAAGAAAAAAAGTATAATATTTATTGAACACATTAATCCTTATATTGGGCTCCTCTTGTTGAAAACATTATTTAAGATCTCTAAAATGACGCATTTTAATCTTGTGAATCATTTTCTCAAAAGTTGTGATAGGTAATGTCTTAGCAAACAAATCTATTAGATTATCACTTGATTGAATTTGTTGAATACTAATATCAACATTTCGTTGAAGATTATGTATGAAAAATAATTTTATTGTTATATACTTCATTCTTTCACCTTTGATGCATCCTTTTTTAATTGAGCTATACAATCAATATTATCTTCATACAATATTCTTAAAACTTCTTATGAGTGCATAAACCACATGACTCTTGAATATGATAGGTCATTGATCATGACCAAACACATTCTTGATTTACCTCATGAATTGCTAGTATTTCGCATGGTTTGAAAATGTGGTAGCTATACTTTCTTATTCTTTTTTAACTCACACACCCAATACACACCGAAGGCTATTAGTAGAACTAATCTGTTAGGATTTGAACTCGTGACATCTTGCAAGAAACCACTACCACTGGGCTATAAATTCTTTTGGTATGTGATAGGTATAGTTTGTTTCATAAAACATCATGATATAGTTGTATCACTATATGTAAATACATAACTAGCTTATGATCGAGTTTTACGTAGATAAGATAAATAACTTACATCTTCATAACCAATTAATCATGTCTTGATTTATTAGAGTAAAATAAGCCTATATTAAATGCTTCTCGAAGATAATGCAAAATATGTTTAATTCCATTTCAAAGTCTCTATATTATAATAGAACTATATCTTACTAATCAATTTACGGAAAATGCTATATTAGGTCGGGTATTATTAGTAAGATACAATAATATACCAATTACACTAACGTTTGGTACTTCACGATCAAGAAGTTTTTCGTTATCTTCTCGAAATCGAAAAATAATCTTTTTAGACATCAAGTGAATGAACTAGAATTGGACTATTCAATAGATGAGCCTTATCCATATAAAATCATTGTAGTACTTTTTCTATATATGTTGATTGATGAATAAAAATTTTATTTTCTAAGTGTTCGAACTACGGATCGAGATGAAATTTTATTTTTTTCAAGATCTTTCATGTCAAATTCTCGTTTTAAATAACTTAAGACACTTAGAATATCTTCAAGGATTTCAATTATATTTAACTCATCAACATATACAATAATTATCACAAACCTTTTTTCGAATTTCTTTATAAAAACCCATATGCAAATGAAGTCATTTTTATAACCTTTTTTCAATAAATACTCGTTAAGATGATTATACCATATGTGTCTAGATTATTTCAATCCATATAGAGATCTTTGTATTTAATTGAATAATCTCTTGAAAATGTATTTTACATGCTTGAGGTATTTTAATTCCTTTTAGGATTTTCATATATATATATATACATATATATATCATTATCGAGTGAATCATATAAATAGGTTGTGATCATATCCATTAAATGTATAGGAAGTTTTTCATACATTGTCAAACTAATAACATAACATAATGTAATTGCATCTATTACGAGTTTTTCATATAAAGTTTTTCATTTGTGAAAATCGTTGTACTATAAATCTTATTTTGTATCTCACAATTTCATTTTTTTCATTTCATTTTCGCATATATATCTATTTGTATCCTACTTGGATTAACATTTTTAGGTGTTTTGACCATGGGTCCAAAAACTACTTGTTTCGTAAGAAAATTTAATTCCATATGGATTGTATCTTTCAAGTTAGGCCAATCATCACTATGTCGACATTCTTTAATAAATTTAGGCTCAATATCCTTATTTAAAATATCAATGCAACATTATACGCAAACGTATTATCTACGAATGTTTCTTTTTGGTGCCATTTTCTTCTTGTAGAAACATAATTTATCAAAAAAATTTTGTTTTTCTCAAGTATTTGAGCTTCTTCGAAAGCTTGTTATCAAAAGTACCTTGGATCGTTTTATCTACTTTCTTTATATTTTCATCTTAGTTATTTTTTTTAGAAATTTTTATCTCTAGAATCAATCGATCTTCCACATTTCAAGCTTGCTTTAGATTTATTTGTTATAACATTAATAGATTATCCTATTGAGATATCGATTCTAATAGAAGCATTCTTAGTGAGGACAAGCGAATTAGTTACTCTTTTTGGATCCGATAATGGATCTAATAGTTCATTTGTAAGACTTTGTAAATGAATTATCATCCGAAATTCAAGTTCACATTATTTTATGCAAGAATCGAGATGATGTAAAGATAAAGTATTCCACATAATTTCTTTTTCTAATATTCTCAACTATTTTTTCTATTTATTCTCTCCTCCTAATATTGAAAAAACTATTTTATCAAAATGATAGTCGATAAATCAAGTATTGAAAACATCTCCTATTAATGGTTCAAGATATTTAATTATAGGAAAAGATTCATATTCAACGGATATTCTCAATCTTTTATGAAGACCCATTTTGATTCATTATGAATGAGTAATTAGGACATATGTTGCACATCTAAAAATCCTTGAATGAGAAATTTTAGGCTCATGACTAGAAACCAATTGAAGGGGAAAGAATGTCCGATAGCTTGTGAACTCGATGCGAATAAGTGTTGCGGTACGTAAAATTGCATGTCTCCAAACATAAACAGGAAGTTTTGTTTTAATAAGTAATGGTCTTGTTATCAATTGGAGGCTTTTGATAAAATAATTTAGCTAAACCATTTTGAATATAAACATAAGCAACATGTTGTTCAACCTTTATTCTAATAAACATGCAATAATCATTAAATGCTTGAAGGTAAATTCACTAGTATTGTCAAGACGAATTGTTTTTATGAAATAATCTAAAAATTGTATTTGTAATCGAACTATTTAAGCAAGTAACCTCGAAAATGCCGGGTTTTAAATTGATAATAAGCATGTATGTGACCATCTTGTGGATGCATATATTAAAATCATAAAATATCTAAATGATCTACATGATGGATGAATTGATCCACATATATCTCTTTGAATATTTTCTAAAAATGATGGAGAATCAATCCCAATTTTATTTGGTAATGGCTAAATAATAAGTTTGCCTTGAGAACATGTAGGACATAAAAAATCATTAGATCGAAGAATTTTTTGGTTTCTTCAATGGATGCCTATATGAATTTTCAATAATTTTTTGCATCATGATGAATCCGGGATGGGCCAACCAATTATGCCATAAAATAAAAGAATTAGTAAACTTTTAGTTTACTATAGCATTTGCTTCAATCATTTGAATATTTATGTGATAAATGCTAGAAGAGAAAACCGATAATTTCTCCAATACATATTTTCTACCCAATGTACTTTTTCTATTATATAAGTATTCAATATTCTCAATATTTTTTGTCTCGATATGATATCCGTTTAGATGAATATCTTTAAAACTCAATAAATTTCTATAGGACTTAGGAGAGAATAATGTATTGTTTATAATCAAATTTATCTCTCTAAATAATAATATATTTGTTCTTCCATAGTCTTCAAATAAATTGACACTACCGGATATAGTATTAATATTAACCTTATCCATCATTAAATTGAAAACGTGTCTTTTATTTTTATTTTAGTATACATTACCGCACTATTTACAAGGTATAAATTCTCATCTATAAAGTTCAAATCTATTGTGAACTTAGTAGTATCCATATATTCTTCATAAACATAAAATAAATAAAATAACTAAATAAATAAATATATAACAAAAAAAATTATAACTATCACAATGCGAAAACATAAAATTTCGTTATTTATCAATAGAAAAGCTAACAAGATATTAATTTCTATTATTATCATTAATCTAATGATTTTTTTTTAGAATCTTCAAAAAGATTCTAAAAAAACAAACCAACATCTAAATGTGTCAAATTACCGAAATCATCGGAGAAGCATAGTCACAATCATTATTTTGATAAATAAAATTTGCTTTTATATTACTTTCTTTCTTTTTCAATGAGGCTTGATAAAACTTAATGATTTGCTTTGACGTATGACAAGTACGCGACCACTATCCCTTCTTACCGTATCTATAACATTCGCTTTTTGAAATGCCGACTTGATCTACTTTTATTTTTTTTCATAATTTATCAACTTCTTATGGTGAGGTGCATTATTATGATCACTATAATTATAACGATAATTATTCCAATCATAATTATAGATATTGTCATGACCACGTCGACGTCCATGGTCACGACCACATCCTCATCCACGTTCAAAATTATTATAAGATGTCATTTTTACTTCAAGAAATAGAGTAGACCCAGTTGGATGGAATTCATGATTTTTCATCAATAGCTCGTTATTTTGTTCAGCCATCGGTAAGTATGAAATCAATTTAAAGTATTTTTTTAAAAAAATTTCGTGATATTCGTTGTTGCAGGAACATATTCAAGACAAGAAAAATAGAGAATGCTTTTTCTAATCAATATGAGTTAGTAATATTTTCTCAACACAATTTTGGTATGAGAACTTATTCTAAATACTATAGAATTATACTCACTCGTTTTCAAATCTTATAATCTTAAGTGCTTTCAATCATAATGAGCTTTTGAAAGAATTACAATCTTTTGATGGTTGTCCATTTCCTTTAATTTTTTTCACGATTCAAATGGATCATTTACCATCGAATATTCGGTTTTCAAATCATTATGAAGACAATGACGAAAGAAAATCATTACCTTAGCACGGTTTTGCAAGAATTCTTGATTATCATTCATGATTGCTTGTCTAAAACCATTAGTATTTTAAAAATATCTTAGCATCAAACGTCCATGATAAATAATTCTTATCCGAAATATCAAAGGCCATAAAATCAAGTTTTATGAGGTTTGACATGATAAAAATTCTATAATATAAGGTATAATAGCAATGTAAGAAAATAAAAACAAACATAACAATAAAATTCAAACTTTTCAAACAACGTACATTAGATCATTAGAATATATATTAGATCATTCAAGTTTTTTAAACATATACCGTATCTACTATTAGATTTAAAGTAAAAAATAAATTAGATACATACTTTTTAATAGTTTATATGATTTGCGTTTTTTTGTAAAACACTCGTGCTAATAATGTGTTGAAAAATAATTATAATGGCAAAAGATTATTATGATAATAGTTAAAAAGATAAGTGAAAAGATAACAAAAGAGTGATTTAATTATGAAATAAAATGAATATAATAAATAACAACTACAAACCATTTCCTCGGCCTCTATAAAATATTTCTACTCAAACCGATGAACAACCAAACTTATTTATAAGCTTCAAAATTAGAAAAGAAAATCGAAAAAAATTATAAATAATTAAAAGTATATAAATTATCGAATCAACTATATCATCATTTTAATTTTTCATATTGAATGATAAATTGAATAATATTAATGATCACGCGTAGTTGAGATATGAAAATTATATTGAGAAAAGACGAAGATCTTTGATGTCACACCAAAACCAAGTGTCTCTTGATGGATGATTAACTTGAGAAAAGACATCCTTACATTTATCTTCCATTCTCTACTTTCCAAGGTGTCTCGTGAATACAAGAATTGCAATTTTGCAAAAGTCAGCTCTCTCTCGATGGTTTCTTGTCGTTTGCACTGTATCGTGCTATTGAGAGGAATCCACTACCACACATGACTACATGACTTGATAAAATTCAGTTCTCTCTTTTACTTCATTATCATGGGTTGCTATTACTTCACTTTCACCACTGCCGTTTTCATATCATTTTCAAACACAAATTGGGCCACCCATCTTGCTCAATGCTCACAGAGGCACGGGGTAAAAGTCCCATTAAAATTACTCATGGACCAACTGTAACCAACAAAGTCTACCTCCTACCAACCATGACATCATAAACTGAGATATGATCCAAGCACTTGACCAACCTTAGTTTGAATCTCTCTTTTTCCCCGACATCAGAAAGGGTTTTTCAACTGGCAAATATGGATGACTTTCCTTCATTGATGTAAATACACATAGAGACTAAAGAAAGCTTCAGAGTTGTCAACACAAATAGCCTCCAAAGTTCTCTAATGCCTGCCGAGTTAAAAATTATCGAGAAGCAACAACTGTGGGAAAAATAAGAGATGAGTGAGTATAGTAAAGAGTATTATTACTTTAGAGTGACGAATCAAACTTGGTTTTTTTTTTTTTTATACATAAATGTGGTAATAACCACAGAGATTTCATATCATTCCTATTATCTATAAGTAAAACTTACAGGGAAAAGAATAACAAGATACAAAATACCTGCTTAAGCATCAACAACAACAACATAGCAGGTTGAAAAAGCTATAGTAGTCCGAAAACCATTATTATGAACCTTAAAATGCAAATAATTGCTAATCCAGTCTTTTGTCTCGCTAGTTATTAATGAAGAATCTCATTCTAACTGACTACTGCACATACACAACATATGTTACACAACTATCGAATCTTCAAGCATTCCCAATCTCAAAAACCAAAACCGACTTCTCTCCCATGTTTCTTCTTTCACACGTTTCCATAAAAAGAATGTCCTTGTGTAAAGCTTCTAAATAAGGCCCGAATATGGATAGTGAGCTTGAACAGGCGGCATACCTGATCCATAGGGGTGGACACTGCTTCCATAGAGGTTAGGGTTGCCAAAAGGATTTGAAGGTTGATGCTGTTGCTGGCCCATCATCATCATCATCTGCTGCTGCTGCTGCTGTTGCTGCTGCTGCTGTAACATGAAAGCCTGCTGTTGGCTGGCCATTTGTGCCATTTGCACTGAATGTGGTGCAGCCACCATGCTGGAGGCAAAGAAAGGATCATGTACAGCTGTTTGCATCGTGGGATTAGCCATTGGGGCTGACTCCCAAGGATTGTAGCTCGCAGGCTGACTGCTCCTTCTAATTGCATCATCATAGAGGCTGTCTAATGTAAGTTTATCGAGCCCTCCAGCCTTTGGTGTCAACACAAGTGACAAAAATCAGCATATCCAGAATACTACCGCAAATGTTGTGCATATGAATAATCCGAGTCTATGGAAGTAGACAAATTGATATTGTTCTAGTGGGACATTAATTGCATATAGGAAACAAATCGTAAAAATTACCAGTTTGCTAGCAGCAGCAGCATTTTCATTTGAACTAGGTGCCGTAACAAGTGCCAACTCCCAGCCTGTAGTTCCATTTGCATGACTTGGGACAGCAGTACTTTGTTGCTCAGCTGCGACAACAACAGTAAAAGATAAACTATGATTCCCTATTGCAAACAAACTACTGCAATGGTACTTAATCCAATCAAATTCTACTGCCATTGTCTTCATTCTATTTTAAGTTTTAATAGTTATGCGTTTGCCTTCCATAATGTTAATTTTCGACATATGTCAGCATAGAAGCTATACATGTTCTAGTGTACGCTAGAATCTAATTTAAAATGAGTTCTGAAACTTTTGAGCCATAATCCAATGGCATGTAAGATTGGACCATCATAAAGAACTCACCAACTGGAACAATGGCAAGAGCCAGGGCATTCTTCTCATCTAGCTCTGAAGCAACTGGAACAGGATCATCCAAACCCTAAACCAAAAGGAGGCAAAGAGCAGCTCATAAGAGAAGTGAAACACGTTCAGAATCTTCTCAGGAAAAGAAATACTACATCCAAATTAAATTAAACAAAGGTTGAGAAATAACCAACAAATCAGGTGGTTGAGCAACAGGCTCTTCCACTTTTACTGGTTCAGGTGGAGGTGGTGATGGCGGGCTTTTCTCCACTACCTCCGGTTCCTTTTTGTACTCTATGGCTAAGATTTCCTTGGGGGCTGCAATTTTATTATCCACGAACTGCAAAGTTGAAGATTACATTGTCAATAATAATTGTTGCAAGATCAAGACAAAAGGTGATAGCATAAACCACTAACTAAGATATATACAAATATTAGTTAATACTTATTAGAATGGGAAAACTTGGACCTCTATAAATAATTAGAGAGTGGAGACATTGAAAATCTTACACACCGGGTTTAGAAACGAATGCATTTTTATTCATGCCTAATCCATGTGAAAATAGATTTGATAGAGGGTTATATGTTGTGGATCAGCACTATAGAAGGAGGCAACAGCGCAAGAAGAGAAACTAAGATCTTGCAAATATTTATTTATTTATTGTTTTTCTTTGTTATTTATTAAGAATAAGTCAGATTAGAAAAAGGATATAAGAGTCCTAATTGGTGTGGTATTTTAATTAAGACTTTCTATGTTAGTGTGAGTCTGTTTAGGCAATAGCTTATTAGGTTTATCTTTCTTTTTCAGCCACCTCTACTATATAAAGAGTGGATGCTTTCTGAATAAAGGTATCGAATAATTCAGTCAAGAAAAACCTAAGAGAGTTGGTGGTCTCTAAAACAAACCATCCATTGTTATCTGTTCACAATAGGTTCTTCACAGAAGAATCAAAACGTGAACAAGGGAAAGCTAAATGACTTCCCCATTAATCGACCTTTGACGAGATCCTACGCTCGGGACCATAACATTATAACATGCCTTGGCATGTGGCATTCAGTAACATCACATGCATGACAACTGTAGAATAGTGTGCCATGGTGTGCAGGCAAAAGCTTGGGTTATCATTTCAGAAATCCACTCCATTGCCAATTAAACCAATTTGATGACAGGTTCTCCACACACACCCCCACACCCCCCCCCCGCGCCCGGGCGGCACACAGCAATTAGCTCTTTTTCGACATAAATGTTATCTGATGCCCTTTTTCTGTTCTGTTCTTCCCTCCAACACAAATCTATTACACACAGAGTCTGTACCTGATCCTTTAGAACTGTTGACACCCTTGGAGCATCCCGCACGTACTCTTCCATGGTTTGTAGGAATGATGGAGGAGGCTTCATTGTCAACAAAAATTTAGTCAGCATGGAATACAAGAGAAGAATCCAGAAAAACATATGTTTCAGAAAGACACCACAAACGAGAATGCAAACCTGCTCGATCTTTATAAACCTTTCTCCACGTCCAATATCCATGCTTTTACATACCTCGTAAAATTCTGAAAGGCTCTCTGCCTGAAATACACAGAAAGTTAAAGATTACAACCATGGAAAACCAATTACAGCTATTGTAAGAGATGGTTAGACTGTCATTTGCACAGCATTCAAGAAGATATTACCTGCTGGCAAGCCCTTCTGTATATTTCCAGAGCCTTCACAGCGTCATGGCGTGGCATCTCAAAGAACTGTCATCCATGAAAAGTATTGTAAGTACATGATTTGCTGAATAGCCTAGCTTCTGACATGAAAAACAAAAATTGATTTGACAAACATAGATGGTTGCTTACCTTGTCAACCAAATTGGCAGTACCATCATTTATAGCTTGGTAAACTCTAATGCTCTCCGAAGCAACCTATTATTATGGATGAGAAAAAGTGTAAGCTGGAACAAGTAAATACCCTCTGCATACAAACCAGCTACACAAAGAACAACCATGATTTACAAAATCCACTCACCAATTGGAGTGCCAACTGAATGACAAAGTTATTGACTGCTGCACCTTGTGGCTGCACAAAAGGGTACAAAATTGTTTGCCCATTTAAATACAAAATAAAACGCACTCATGAATAACTGTATCCTAAATCAAGAAACCATTATATTTGTGCTTTGAGTTGAGAAGATCACTTACCTGACAACCAAGAACACGGAAAAGAAGCCGTTGCAAAGCTGGCAACTGCTCCAGTATTTCAGCAGTGTCCAGATCTTTGGTCCTCTGCATAAAAGATATATTAATGAATCTCCAGACAGTTTTCAATAACAAATGTGGCACAAACATTTATGCTATTTGAGGATAAAAAGGGCTGAAATGAAGAAGTAGCAATTCCTTCTAACTAAAACCAAAATTCTTTTTACCTAAATAAAAACTAAAATTTACAAATGTCAATGCTTAGGTGTGGTAAAGTCCATATGATAGTATTTTGGGTCACCAAATGGTTGAGACGATAAACTGTAACAAGGATTTCAATAAATACATCCTGAATAAACGAGAGCCAAAAGAGGTCACATTAAAAAGATAGAGTTCTCACAGGTCGATCCATCTCGACATCATACTTCAACACTCGAAAGCATTCCAACCTCTCCTCCAAAAATAAGGCATAGGTGCGAACCCAGGCAGAATAATCCCATGCTGGCCAGCACAAAACAATAATCATCATAAACAATGATTTAACAAGAATAATCATTCACCAAGAAGAAAAAAATATACCATTTGGACTGGAATCATCTTTGAAATGAGCCATGTTGAGCATATGACTTCGGCTTCTTCCATAATTAATGATTTCTTCATGAAATGTGGGGTCCACTTCTCTCAAAGCACGATGAATAACAATTAAAGTTTTCAATGCAACCTAAAAATTAGCAGTAAGTCAAACAAATTACAGGAAAATACATGGATGGATCAGAAATACACCTATGCATATACTATAATATGAACATCAAATGACTCAAAGCATTGGCTTCAGAAAGGAAGCAATTTATTCATGAATCATGACAAATGCTTTCCATAAAATGAACCATGGGATTCATGAATATTGGAAAATGAACTACAGCCACCACAGACATGAAGTGCTTAACTTTCACAAGTATAAAGTTCATTATTATCTTTCTGTTTCAGAACAAGATGGCTATAATGGGCAGATAGGGGAAGTGTCAACCAGTCTCATCTATAAATTTGGCTTGCTTATGAAGAAACTTTGACATATTTGTTCGTGTAAAAATCTTCTTCTTGCTGCTTCCTTCATTTCGAAAATGATAAAATGGAAGACCACAAAAACAGGGTGTGCAATATAAACTGTCTCATAGACATAAAATGCGCTGAACAATAACAACCAGAGATATATATTATTCTGTCAGGTTGAAGTTCAAATGGTCATTGGCCTTTTTTTTTTTTTCCCCAGGTATGACCTATCATGCTACATGATACATCAAATGTCTTTAGTCTAGTACTCAAAATAAGGTGATATATCCAGAGGGTTAATGCTGCTTAGCAGCATTTTATGCATTTACTATCACATAATTGAATTCCAATGCAAACAGGAATTGTGGTAAATATTTGAGTACCTTCAAATAAAGAGGAAGCTAATGTACATTTGAGGGGAAAGCCAAAATATATGTATATATTTCCAACCAAGGCATGAAGCTTTGGATATTTAGATTGACAGAATGGTACTTAATTTACTTCAAGCCACTCTATTCATAGCTATCTAATAACATAAGATTTTATATGATGCTGATGCACATACCGCCCAGTTATGTGTCCTCGATAAACGCCGTGCAACAGCATGGATGCAATATGCAACATCAGCCCGAGGTCTAGTAGCTGAAACAGCAGCAAAAATAGCTGCAAAGAGAAACAAATAGATAGCACATAAGCTCAACATCCATCAATTTTATTACTCCCACAATCAGTATAGCGTTCCCAACTTCCTATCTTGGAAGAGTGCAAGGAAAGCATTGCATCTACCTCTGATGTGTCTTTCCTTTGCAGGTCGCTCGTAGTGATTTGTGGCCTTAACTATAGAAATGTCCAATTCCTGAAAAAAAAAAAACCACCCAACCAAAAAGATCGATACTTTCAAACAAAACCCAACTTTAAATAACCACAACAACAACTTCATGATTGTTTTGAACTAGTAAAATACCTTGTAATCACTATTGACTTTGGCCAATGAAACAGTGGTAGTATCCTTGAGGGCACCAAGTGCTTTCCTCAAACTTTTTGGGTTCCACCTGACATTCTCTCCCCCTCTCAATTCCAGAATTCTACAAACAAACCCATCAAGTCAATTCTCTCCACACGCTCTCTAATTCAATAAGCATTTAATTTATAGGGTCAAAATCTGATCAAAGTATTAGACCATTAACTGACTGTAATAAGACATTACATGAATTTAGTTAGATCCAGATAGATATAACTTAAAAGATAAAGCTTCCATCAGTGACAGCATAATATCAGCAACATTAACTAATTACCAAAAAGAAAAAAAGAAAAAAAAGGACAGAGAATCTGAATCACCACCACCATGATCATCAAAATCCCACAAAATCAAAAACACAAAAGAGAGAAAGAAAGTACAAGAAAGGCAAGAAATCAACATAAAAACTAAAAAGCTCTGAAATTCATCATATTCAATGAAAGAACAAAAAATCAAGAAACGAAAAGTAAATTCCAAGAAAACAATAAAAACAATATCTTCTAACATCAACAAATTAAGAAACATTAACAATCAGCACAAGCAAGAAACCGTCCATTCTTAGCTCATCAAGAAAAAGAAGACACCCTTTGACTTACCATCACCAAAAGATCTAACCAAAACAAGAAAAGAAAAGAAAAGAAAGCTCCGCAAATTCAAGAAAATTCATACCATTGCACCATCAAAATTCAAACTTTTTGAAAAAAAAAACCAAGAAAAGGGAGCTGGTAATAATTACCTACCTGAAACCGAATATCGAAAGAGAGAGAGAGAAGGCGAGAGAAAGGGAAGGAAGAAGAAGAAGTGATAAAGATGAGAAAGAAAAGTCTGTCTGACAGAGAAATATGAAAGTTTTGAGCTGCGAAATGTATGAAATATGAGCTCGTTCGGCTTTGTTGGGCCGTCGGCGTCGTTGAATATTATTATTTATTTTATGTTATTTTTGTACAATTATAGATAGTGTTCTGTCTTTCTCTTTTTCTCTCTCATGGTAGTTTCTTTCTCTCTCTCTCTCTCTCTCTCTCTCTGTCAGAAATACGGCTTGTAAGAAATGCGTACTGCTGTCTCCTAGATAAAAATAGCCTGTCTGTACACCTCAGTAGCGTTGCACGCTTCAAAGCAAAATTCGTGGCTTTTTGCCTATTTTTAAGAAATTAGATTTTACTTTCTCCAGGCGTTTATGTTTCTATCCCTCCATGGAATTCAAAATTAATGATTTTACGACTTGATAAGCTTCTTCTGTCAAAGAATCTTCATCTTAAGAGATTGTTGTTCAAAAAAATACTATTTTTTTCCCAAATTGATGTGTTAATTGTCAAATAATCAACTGAAAATCCCATGAATGATAAATAGTTGGTCTTTCACGAAAAAAAAAAAAAAGGCTATATCTTTCCTAGATTCCCAGCTGATTAAGAAAATAGGAAAAAAGAATATAAAAATGGCGTATGAGAAGTCAAACTATAGTATTGATGGTTGTATTTTAGCATGTAGCTTTAGGATTACTCAATAGTTGAGAATTTCTTGTCCAAGAAACTAGCTGGAGCAACAACAAGAACGGACAGGGAAGGTTGGGTTAAAAAAACGGTCAGCTCAAGGTTAAAGACATCAAATTTGAATTTTCATAAAATTGGATGTGACCTTGGTTTCTTAGCAATGTCTAAAGCAGACTTTTTGCCATTCGAAGGAATTTTCCTTTTTTAATTGAAATGGATCCCACTTCCACACTCACTTTAAGAAATGATTCCACGATATATCCATATCTTAATAATATCATGCTTTCTTTAGATTTTTTTAATATATATATATATATATCACTTAAAATTTTAACTAGAAAAATAATTTAGAATATATAAAAATATAAAGATAGATTATTTTTTGAAACATAAAAATATGTAATATGCAATCATGACGTATGATATAACCAAAATAACTTCCATTTCCTCCCAATTAAACCTTGTTTTTAGCTTGTTAATTTTGTATAATTTCAATTCCATGTGCTTTTAAAATCCAAATATGCATATTGTTTTTTATTTTTATTTTAAAGAAATGAGCATATTTTTCAATCCTTCTACAATTTTTACTAGTTTATCCCTATATAATGTATACAATATCCAAATTAGTATTTAAAAAACGGTCAACTCATAGAATATGATATCAATATGAAGCACATCAACATATATGTATATATATGTATATATATATATGTATATACATATACATATATATACACATACATATATATATATAAAGTCTCATTATAGGAAAATGTAAGATTAATTTTTCATTTTTATAACGATGATCAATTTAATTCGTTGTAATATACGATAAACTACTAATGTTAATTTATTAATATTTAATAACTGATTGAACGATATATATATATATATATATATATATATATATATATATATATATATATATATATATATATATATAAAGAAGTTAATAATGTTAATCTTTAACGTCAATTCATGTCCTAACGTGATAAATAATATATTAATTTATCTTATTAATCAACAAAATTGCAATATCAATTTGTTAACGTTCTACATCAACACTATAGCATTGCGGGTCTAAAACGTATAGCCTTCTTAAATTGCTTCTAGCTCACGGTATTATCTAAATGAAATACTAAATAATGTCAAAGCATTCACTTGTTTCTTACCGTAACTTCTTCAATGCAACAATAAAAATCAATAAAATTACAGGTCGGTGATCACTAATCAATCCGTGGACCGGGATAGTTAATACAGCTTGGAGGAAGTGGTGGGCAGAGCTGTTAGATCATCACCGTCACAGTTGGTGCCACGTGGAACACAGCTATACCAGCCAGCAGTGATTGAAAAGATGCCATCCTTGTCACGAAAAGACGATCACACCCTTCGATTAGAAAAATTAGGACAAAAAATATACTTACAACCAGATCTACCTATCATTTGAACAATTCACAAGGACAGCTTTTGTCCTCCTAAATTCTTCCCCAGCTTGTGGTGTCTGGACCCACTTCAATCTGGGTCCATCCTAGCTGGCCTTCTTGTTTTTGAAACACAAAAATAAATCATTATTTTTTCAATTTAAATTTTAGATATTTTTTTAAATGTTTTGGTTGATGGAGACAGAGTTCTTGAATTCATAAAAAATAATATTAAAAAAAGAAACTCTAGAATACAAACTCAAAGTGAAGTTGATAGTGGGCTCCACTTTTTCTGTCATTCCTTAATTACCCTGAAAAAGTTTGTGGCCGTTTGATCCCTTTTTGGACGTACAAGATTTGATTTTGGCATGGCCTCTGCGTTTGACGCAAAAATAGGAAGCATTCCAGAAAGTCTAGAATGGAATCTGATTGTGATTCACGTGGTTTGTATTAGTGCGAATCTACAAATGCAAAAGCTGTCCAAATTTCTATGAATTTACATGCCTAAAACATTCCGAATCTCAAAACATTCATAAACCACTTGGATTTATAGTAAATTATAAATTAATCCTTTTCATTTCGAGAAATGAAATATTTTTTTTTTCGTTTTGTGAGACGTATCAAATTAATATATAATATCTAAAATACTCTTATATATTTGATGTTTAAAACGGAAAAAGTAAAGATTAATAAAATAAAAGGTGAAAAATCAACGAAAAAACTTTTATTTCCACTTTAACAAAAAATTAAAAAAAAACACTAAACTATTAATAAAATTAAAATATTAAAATTTAATAATTATTTTTTAAAATAAAAGAAATTAATTAATTTATCTTTCAAAACGAAATGGATTAATTTATAATTTAGTAGTTGGATTTATCAAGGAACCAACCTTTTTTTTTTTTTTTTTTTTTTGGAGAAAGAATCATGGAACCAACTTGGATGGCCTAATAATGACTTTGATCATAGCTAACTCCATCACGTGGTAGGACATGAGTCAGTTGTTTAAGCTTGATTTTGGATTTTTTTTTATTTGTTCCTTTTTTGGCGGGAGGCCTAGGACATAGACCATATGCAGGTCTATTTGGCACAGAAGTTGGACCGTGACTCTAACTTTCGTGGCTGTAATCGAAACAACGGTGATGCTAAGAAAAAAAATGTGTCTAGTTATGATAATTGTTGATACATAAGTTGTCGGTTTAATTCTGGGGAGGAAGCATTGCATATCGAGACAAAAATTTAGAACAGAAGAAACAAATCAGGACAAAAGCTCAGCCCTGTGAACTTGGTGGGGGTTCCCATGGGCATAAACTAGAGTGGTGCGATAGTGACATGTTTGCTAATACAAATAAAATTAGAAAACAGTCAACCATTCCAGATTACAAAACTGAAGCCCACTTCTTATCTTTACTAACTAGTAGAGGACATTGACTGGAAAAATGGAAATTTACGAATTGGAGACGAGGTACCCTCGGTTTCACGACATGTCGAAGAGGGAGAAAAAAAAAAAAGGGTTAGAACGCAATAAAAGATGCTACTTATTTTTTCTTTGGAGAAAATGGTATCTACATAAAATGATAAAAACAATGAAGAAAAATGGTAAGAGTAACAAATTACAAATGTTACAATTGCTATACCACCTAACTAAATTGCCTAGTGTTTCAAAATTGATGGTCCTTAAAAGAAATCTTCAAGATCTCTTGACGACAACTGTGGCGAAACATGGATGATGGACGAACTCGAAAGAAACCTTGAGAGACGGATCAAGAGCTCCGACCCGGCAAATCACATTTAGGGCAATACTATTGTGTTCTGCAACCTGCTCCAATATCCGAAGTTCGGCTAATCTGTCTGGATCATTGGAGAAACTACTCTTGACCTCCTTTGCAATCTTCTGAGCATCCTTGAAATAATTGTACATAACTAAAGTCTGGACAGAGAGAAATCAGTTGAGGTTTATATAAAAAGGATCATGGAGGCAATAACTAGTTAACATCATAGAATGCTTACAGAGAAACGAGCATAGGAAGTGGATTCCTTGAATGAAGGGAATGAAATGTGATCAGGGATACAAGCTTTTTGTAGTAGTTCAAAATGCTGCATAAACCTCTGGAGAAAAATAAATTTGGCGTGAGAAGAAATGAGATATCACGGGTGATATATTTTTTAGCTGAAGACTATGCTACTTGTTTCTGTTCCTCATCAATTGATCTGAATGGCATCATTCATTCTAGCAATGAAGTTTATGCTTAACATTATTTCCGGAGAGAATAATTCACTATTTCCTCTTTCTATTATATGACATTTTATTATGTTCTACCAAACATTGTCTTATTGCTTATATATACCATACACATCAAATACACACTTTACCTCATGTTCAGAATTAAAGGGGCTGGGAGATCGTAAAACCATCAGTTCATTCCTCAAAGCAGCGAGCAGCTAGACAGATAGAACAAGTACTTTAGAGCATTTGAGATGGCAATGTGTGAAGCAAACACATTCTATATGAAGAAATGGAAGCATATGTTCTCAGATTCACAATATATAAAAAGCCCATATGGATTAAAATAAAAAAACTTCCTTCAGAAACCTGCAAACTAGGATTCTAACTACTGAAGCAAGGGCATATAAAATGGAGAAGAGGAAAAATTCTATCCACAATAACATCAGATTAGGCAGTTCTCAAGAATGGATGCATAAACTTATAAACTAGACTCCCTTCCCCCATGTTTGTTGGTCCATCACACACAAAGATAAAAATTACTATAATTGATTGTTCAAATTGAAAGAAAGAATTGAGCCGACAATTGTTTATAATTGAATGAAGCTATATATTTTGCAATTTGAAAAATTGATTAAAATTGTTCTATCATTTTAGCTTTTGTGCAAAGGAAAAACAATATGAGACAGAACAAGTATTAAAAATACCAGTGTGAGTCCTTCAGCAAGACATATTTGGCATTGAAGAAAAGAGATTGCTGGCGGGATCCGAGCTTCTCTTGCCAGATCCTTTGGAGAATCCTTTTTTTCTTTCCCTTCTGTTTAGCTGATTGACAGATGAACATGAATGAAACAATTGTAAGCAGAATATATGAAATATTTTATTATCCTGGCACTAAGAATCTGCTCACACTTAGAGGAACTGGCCCAGCTGGCCCACCAAATCAATTTTGCTCAATCAACGATTCTGAGAATGACCCATATGTCAAATTCAGTTAAGCAACAGCTCATTTACAGACAGACTCATCTAGTCGATTTTTATTTTGTTTTTCCCTTCTTTAGGTGCAAAAACCCTAGACTGAAAGCTCTTGGCAATCTAGCAGATTTGTTTTGTGCAGTTTTATGCCTCCAATTCAACATACTTCACAAACTTTTTTGCTCCGAAGTTCTAACTTCTGTCCCTAAAAACAAGATCAAGTGAGCAGAGATATGCTTACCATTGCCATCGCTCACTGTCATCTTCTGATGTGTTTTCTCTGCAAGCCTGATCAAGACAGCATACAGATACCAATACACCATGCAATATTCACTGGGAGAATAGAGCTCTAATTCGAAACCCAAAATGAGAAATCGATGAGCAATCCAATAAGTTTGCTCCTCCACCCAAATGAGAATGCGTTTTAATATTCTTGCTGATGCATTCTGCAAAGCCAAACAAATTATAACAACTGTATATAAAGAATTTCAATTTGAGACATTGGGCGAACAGAAACTGACATACATAACAGAACTGCTAGAATGAGGAGATGAAAGACTTAACGATAACCATTTATATCTAGTCCAACAGCAGGAAAAAAAAAAAAAAATTCTAAATCCACTCTTCTGCGCTCATTTGAACCAAATGGCAATAGAATTAATCATACAAGTGTTACCAAGTTTGGACACATTATGACATGAAGTCTCAGAACAAAGAGCCTCTTGGCAGGCAATATCTATGCAAAATCTTGTGATGAAAATTATCATAGATGCCAACTCTGTAGAATTAATCAAGATATAGTAAGCATGATTAAACAATAAGAGTACTTCTGCACTAACTTCTGACAGTGTCCAATTACAACTTCCTCATAATATAATCAGTACCTCCGAAGACAACAGCTTTATACAAGTTAGTTTTCTCACAATGGCTAAGTTAATCATGCTATGTTTAAAATTCAATGTTCCATTCGCAATGGCAGAAGATGATTTTGGCATTTCTGGTTCTCCTTTAAGAAAAAAAAATAGAAATGAAACCAAATGATAAAGCACCTTTGGGCAATTCCATTTTCTAACACGTATTATAACAGACCCAAATGGTGAAACCACAAATACTGAGCATCTCCATTGAGGCAATGAGATTGGTTCCTGATCTATTTCACTTTCATCCATACGCAGGTTACATATTCATCTACCAATCTAAATGAGTATGTTTGTATGTATAAATTGGAATAATTTACATGATTAAGAAGCCAATTTCCCTTTTATACACTAGAACTTTGTTGGGTGCAACAGTAAGTAAAATACTCAAGAGAGCAGCATACCTCGCCATTTGAAACGCTCGAGCCTTCTCCAAACTCCTTTCTGAAAGCAAGCTCTAGCTGTTAACCAACAGATGTAGAACATAAGAATAAACACCACCTGATGTCTGTGCCAAAATAACTCTGAAAGCAGATACTTGGAACCATATAATCTACATTTGGTCTCGAAGAGTTAATAAAAATCATTAAATTGCAAGAAACTCATGAAGCTTAAATAGCCAGGTAAAAATAAGGTGGTGTTAAGTTTAGTGGTTAGGGAAGAGCAGAAAACATTGCAAAATAGCAAAACCAGCACTTAAAGCATGGTAACCATAAACATCAACTAGCCCAAAATGAAAAATAAGTACACAAAATTTTAAGCAGAAAATACTAATACAAGAGACGCAGATTATACTATAACTTATATAAATTTGATTAGGTCAAGCATCGTTACTCAATTCCATAATAATGGTTAGGTTCAGGGCAAGTTAACCTTCAATTTTCTCTTCAATAAATATATTAAAAAGCAATGTTTTTCAAACAAATGATGCATTTGAAATGAACTATGCTTAAGGAACAGAAACAAATAGCCCAAGCAGACAATAGAGAAAGGAAGATTACAAACCTGTACATAAATAACACGCCAATCTTGTAAAATCTTTCCAAGTTTACGCCTCTGCCAGGCAGCATTTGTGCACAGAATTTTGAGCATATTGATCACTATCTGCATCGCATATGATAATTGCAGAACTATCAGTTGATAACATGGCATTGACCACCATCACTTTTCATGATATTTCAATTCATTTGCCCACTACCTAAATAGGATATGTGATGTTGCATGACTTCTCAATTTACCTCCTAGTTATTATGATTAATAACATGCTTTCTACAATTGAAAGGCAATTTGAAAAATTTATAATGAGCAATAGAGATGTAGGAATAAACAATGTTTGCTTAACTATCGAAAAATTTTATGCGGCAGCCACTTACGTGACTGAAGGAATAAAGTAAAAGACAATTGTCTTCACCTGTCCTAACTGTACAACATATTCATTCTTCTGAATCTCATGGTGCAGAATGACCTCAGGCAACCGTGCAGCTCTAGTAATCACAGAAAACATTGGATACCGACCATAGAGTTTTCCATCTTGAACCAACAGAAGCTGTTACAAGTTGTCAGCTTTGAGATTCCAGAAGTATGATGAAAAGGAACTACCAAAAAGAGTATGTTACAAAGTGGGGAATAAGGTGAACTACTTAGATAAAAAAGAATAGGAAGACAGCATTGGACAGTAGATTAGAATGCCAATCAGTAAACATAACTCAAGGAACAAACAATACAGCATTCCATAACAGGCTCAAGATCCATATTCTTTCTTTCTTTCTTTTTTCCAGCTAAAAATAAATATAATTAGGCCAGTCAATAAGCTAACAAAAAGTGAAGTGCATGATTCTTTTCAATATGATAAGAGAACCTGGATCAATTAAAAAGGTTAAGGAATCCATGAACAAGGAATCAACCCAGTAGCAGCCAATCAATATTCAGAAAGATAGCATGGATAAAGTCAAAATAACCTGGAGATGTGCTCTTGCAACCAAATCAGGTTCTGCTTTTTGAAATTGAACTACAAAGCGCAAAAGAACTTCCAAAGAAGGGTCCAGCGGATATGAACAAATAATATCTAGATCATGAAGAAGTTTTTCAAAATACTCAATGGCCTGGCAGAACAGAAAGACAAAAACATTAATTATAAGAAACGAAGAAACACAACACTACTAACCATCAAGCTCTAACCTTTTTCCAACTAAGAATTTTAATTGAACGGGGTGGAGTTGGGGCTGAAATTCTGCTGTTTAAGCTAGCATCGAACCCAACAGCTTGACAGCCAGAAGCAGTTGTTCTATCTTCTGTACCATCTTTGCAAGTTCCATAGGAGTTAGACATTAGGAATTCTGCTGATTTAAGAATGGTTCCTAGCTCTGAAATGCAGGACGCTATATGTTTTCTAGCCAACTCTAGACCTCTTCCTTGAGGTCGCCTCATGCAGGTTAAAACATGGCAAAAGTGCTGAAAGCAAAGGAAAAGATGGTCAAAATGAGCACAACATATACTGCGAAAGATAAGTGAAAAGCTTAAGCACACAGAAACAAATAAAAAGCCAAATGAAGTTGACTTATGGGCAACAAAATTTCCAGAAGTGAGCAAAGGATAGAGAAGACATAAGAGAAGAGGCATACATGGAAAACAAAGACATCAAGTAACCAGAATTTGTGTTATTTTCATAAAATACAGGAGCATCGAGAAAAGGTAGATAATTGATGAACAGAAAGGAAGAAATATCCAATTGTAAACCATATACATCAAAGGAAGGAAAAAAAAACCTAATATTTCACGAAGTAATTAACTATTTTGAAAGTGACTGTCAAAATGACAACACAATCATTTGTTTTAAACAGCTTGAAGTTTTTTAACCAGAAAACAGAGCACGTTTTTTAATTCCTGACACTTTGATAAATTTTGACATTCAGTATCTCCAGAATCCTCTATCTAGCTACAAGCCAAATAAACTCTAACTGAATTTTTGATCTTGAATATTAGAAATGAAATAAATCCATTGAACATTCCAGAAATGCACAAACATTATGAAAGAATATAAAATTATGCACAGACAGGATCCATATCCACCACAACACTTATTTTAGAGCAAACACAGGATAAGACCTTACGAAAGCGTAAGCGGCATAATAATGCTTTGCAGTAGCCTTCTTCCAGATCAAAATTACTTTGTAGAGGCTCTATATCTGCATCAAAAAAATCACCACATTAATTATGAGAAGTATGTTGATAGAGCCTGCCAAGCACTAAAAGATAGCGATGGAAACATGAATGGAAACAAAACACAACCTTCTCTTTTATGAAACCAGTGGACTTAAAAAATGAAAATCAATTAGCATCAGAGATTAGAAAGCATAAACTACTAATCTGAACAAGTTGGAGTTTGCAATTCTTCTCTTAAAAACACTAAACCTGGAGGGAAAAAAAAATCATTTACCAGTACAAGCAAGAAAGGGTAGACTGCTATTGTGGATAACAAATCCCATAAAGTCACAATAAAAAAAACTCACTGAGCCAATTGACGTGAAAGTTGCAAGTTTACATATAAAGTGACAAGTAAATGAGATCAAGATTTTCAAATCTACTTTCAAAATAATTCGAAGGTCACCCTTCATCCTAACAGCATAAATATGTGGCCCTTGTGAAAATTGTTTCTTTAAGTGCTCATTTCATCCAATCCTTCTCAGCGGTGATATACAATGCCTCTGGTGAAATTGAAAATGTTCTCAGATAAATACCCTCTAACGGTTTTCTTTTGGATGATGGGGCTTTGCAAGCTCGCAGTTGACGAGAAATATTCTCTTCAACAGCATTTAACAACGACAAGCACTTTTCATCTCCATCCCCACTCAGAGGAAGGCCATAAGCCATCGTAAAAAGATCCTCTTCCTGCCAAAGAACCAATTTGTAAATTGTTTTTATAAAAATAAGCACAAGAAACAATTAAAAAAAATCCAAGTATGCAACACCTTTTGCTATTCGAATGACCATAAAATTTAATATTAAGACAGCAATCATGTACAATAAATAAGAAAAAAGAAAAGAAGCATAAAAAACTAACGATACAAAATAAACTGAGGTTAAAGGAGCTGTTGGAATACTTTACTTCATGTGTACGTGCATCTGAGACAACGGTAATCACTGCCTTGCACGTTGCACGTATGACTTTGCAATAAGAATGCAATATGGCATGTGATGATGTCCTCTCTGGTCTCAGAAGGTAGGCGCAGGAAAAAACAGTTTGTGCCAATGAGTGACCCTTGTGCCATGTTGCCTGCCATGAAAGACAATTGGTTAGGACCATTATTTTGTTACTGATAAAAATTCAATTCAGGATTTACCCCACTTTCAGCCCACCTATTTACCATCTGAACCAAATTCCAGGACAGGGGCCCCTAATGATGTATGTATGCATACAGAACAAGAATAGGCAAAAATAGAAACAGCTACATGGAAAAGAGAAGAAACAATATCCATGTTCACTCATACATGAAGATTAGGCATATGTAATTATTAATGCATGCAAATTCCGTTGCATGCATGTGTTCTTGTAAAGAAGACATTTCATCAAAAAGACTTTGCTTTTTCTTCACAAACAGGGTAAATGGGCATAGGATAAAGAGAAATGTTAATAAACTAAAAGCAGCAGGAAAAAGGGAGCTTATTGCAAGGATATTAAGTAAATGTTCAGGGGAAATTTCAATATGAAAGAAATTATAAACAGATTCCTTTCTTTAAGATAAAAATCAAACTGCCTGGTGGCACTCATACAACTTCCACAGTCAATGACAACGAAATGCTCTTGATCCTGTTAACTCTATGCATCACTAAGGGTAAGTAAACCTCAAATTGGAAATAACACTACAATACCTCACACGCTAAGAGATGGTCCATAACGTCAATCATGCACTGAACATCAGTAGTTTTGTCAAAGCTAATAGGCACTGGAGCCACTCCATCTTCAATCGCTTCATCAACAGAGGCGTACCTGTTGATGATACCGGAATCCATCTTTGGGTCCATTATCTAACAAAATCAGTTGATGCAAAAATTAAGCCACCATAAAAAATAAATAAATAAATAAAAATAAAAACAAAAAACTCACTAGCTAGATAAATAAATACCACATTAAAATGAAAATGTCGCAAAATTACCTCTAAAGCAGACATTGCGGCATAAAGATTGAAATTCTCCCCGTGAATCAGCTCACCGTCCCGTAATTCTGTAACAAAACATCATTTTAAAACAGAATTAAAATTACTATTCCACAAAAAAAAAGAGAGAGAGAGACTTGCATCATACATTTTGATTTTATTAATTAAGCATGAAATAAAATTCAAATTCAAATTTAATCATTATAGATTCAGTAGCATGAAATAAAATTTAAAATAAATCATTATAGATTCAGTAATCTAATGCATGATAAAAAAATTAGAGCTCAAATTAAAAATAAAAATAGAAGGAACAACTTAGCTCACCCTCACATGTTTCAACTAAAATTTGAAAATAAAAAAGAGAAGTTTTAAGAAGTGGAAAAGGAGAAGCTAAATCGGAGACCTTTACAAGCGGCTTCAAGGAGAGGCGACGCGTCGGCCCAAACAGTGTTTGCAGTTGCAGGAATCGATGAAGAAGAGGACGAGGAGGGGTGATGTGGTGCGTGAAGGTCCATCGATGCTTGCTCTGTGCTCTTCCAGTCCATTGATTAATGCTTAAGCTCTTGTTGCCTTGTTGGAGTCTTGAGAGAGAGAGCTTTCGAGTTTGATACTAAAAGCACTGTGCCCGTGGAAGAAAAGGGCGGAGGAGGGTTTAGGGCGTTTGTTTTGGTTCAGACTTTGTACTTAATGGGGCATTTGGTCCTCGTGCTCTTACTTCTGTCTTAATTTAGTCTTTTAGCTCTGTTTATCAACCAAATATCATTCATTTACTCTACAAGATCATACCACTAATTACATAAAACATAGCATCATCATAAAAATTCCATTTATTATTTTTATATATTTACAAATAATGAAATATCTATGTTCTAGTTTTTTAGTCAATCGAAACTAAATTCATTACTTATTTAGTTAAGTCGGTGTCATAACATGTTTAATTTTTGATCGATCACTAAACTACCTTTTAAACCAATTATGTCCAAATCTAACACCACTAAAGGATAATTATGACTAATTATCAATGGATAGTGAAAATTAAACTTTAATTTGGCCAAATTAAGATAGCTTCTTTACCATCAAACCATATTTTTTTGTTTCAGTCGAATCAAAACAACTCTTTTACTCGTTAAATTGAAATTTTTTATAGTAGATTCCATTCATTTTTATCACCACTATATTACTAATAGTTTGGTGTATGAATGAATGAATTAGTGTACAAACACCATCATATTTCTATTCATTTTTATCACGGCTTTATTACTATTGATTCGGTAAATAGATGAGTTAGTATATAAACATCTTCATTGATTCTTATTATGGTTTTATTACTATTGATTCGGTGTATATGAATGAGTTAGCATAGAAAGTTAACATAACAATTTCTTTCTTTTTCTACCCTCGCTTAGTCCTTCCCTCAACTTGCCGTCACGGATAGTGGCGAGTGCATGCAAATACGTTATCATTCTTTTCTCATCAACGAGCGAGTCATCTAATGCATAAAACAACAAGATTAAATTGTCGGTTTACTAATGTGCGTTGATGCTGATTTTTCCTTTAACTCGCAAATTTACATATGTTTGTCATGCAGAGTATAGATTTCCACGGTATCTCACACGTCGCTTTGGACGACCAATTGGTGAAGCATGGAAAAGATGCTTTTGAACAATAATGAACTTATATGAAGAAATACAAATGAAAGACTATAGACGTGGAAGACATGCAAGAAACAAAGAGGAAGTCTTTAATTATGCACATTCATCCAACTCGAGTGTGGTTAATGAAAGTTGTGTGTGTGTGGAAGAAAACGAAGAAGAGTTTTGTAAAATATACCACCATTTCCTTTGCAAACTAAATATGGAATTTCACAATTATATTAGGAGAAAATCTTGGAACGATAATGTTTTCACCATATTTGATCAACATTCTAATTAATTAGGAGGCATTAAGAAGATAGGTAATAATAGATAATATGGATACAATTTGTGAAGAAATTGCTTTAAGAATTGTGGGAAATTAAACTTATTATTATGATTTATGCATTGTCACAACAAAAAAACAGCAAAATAGAGATGAAAAAATATGTCACTATTTCAACAAATTTTGTCGTTAGTTAGGATGGAAAACACGATTCCGTCACTAATCCATCACCAATTAGCAAAGTATTTAAGTGTCCGTCGCTAATTTAAATCTCAAACTATCGTTTCATTTTTCGAGATTTTCGGAAAGAAGAAGAATTAGCGATGGAATTATTATTTTGTCGCTAATTTTCCTCACAAATCCGTCGCTAGATTAGATGCGTATTTTTCTCACATTATTTAGCAATAAAACTCTATCCATCGCTAACTTTTTGTCACAATTTCGTTTCTAAAATTTGTATTTCATTTTGGTCGACATTCTATCACAAAATTGTCACTAAATAGCGACAGCTTTGTGTCCGTCTTTAATTTTCAACATTAATCCACGATTTTCTTATATTATGTATTCATGTTGCACTATTGTATGAATTGGGAAATTATGTAATGCATGTATGTTGATTTTTTATTTGGTGCTAATGGAATTATGATATTGTAAATAAGAATTATGTTTACATAAATTCCTTTTTTGTAACCAAAGAGGATTGATTTGAGTAAAAGAACTTCAACTCCTTTAAATAAGTAATCTTAAATTCGAATCTTTATGGATACGAAAAACTCTTTGAATAGTTATGCATGCCTTATATGCCTAACTAAACAACGAGGAATCAATCCGAGTTTTTGAGTTTGAGATACTCGGAGGTGCAAAAAAATTCCTTCCTTGTAATGTATGTATTATTATGAGATATAATAAATAACATGAAAAATTAACCAAAAAATTCAAAATAAAATATGAATCCTTAAATCGTGATCTTATTGTGGAATCCAACAATAAATTCTACTAATTTAATGATTTATATATTTTTTGAAGTTTGCTTTGAATTTTTAACATCACTCGTGCCACTATATATAATGTTTCTTTATTATATTTATGTGTTATTTGGTAATCGGGAATAGAATGACGTGAATGAGAATGGAGGAATCGGAATGAAAATTAAGGAATCAAAATAGCATTTGTATTCCCATACCGAGTTTGGAATATTTATTAGGAATCGGAATGCAATTTAAATTTGTTAATATCCGACTTTTCAAACGAATAAAAATAATGATTAAAAAAATAATTTTATCAAACTATAATGATTGTAAAAATAATAAAAATGATGGTGGTGGTTATGACAGTGGTGATTCTAGTTATGGTGGTGATAGGGTGATGGTGGCGGTGATGATGAATGGTGATGGTTATGATGGTGGTGATAAGATAGTTAATAGACAATAAATAAATAAAATATATTATTATTTTGTAAAAAAAATCATTCTCATTCCTTATTTTTATTTCCATATATTATGTAGTGAATGAAGTTGTATGTAAATTTTCATTCTCAATCTCACTTCATTCCTTTTAACTAAACAACTACAATGTGGAAATAAAACTTTCATTCTCGATTCTCACAACTCTATTCCCGATTATCAAACAACACTTTAAAATAATTAATGTCTTCTTTTTCTTTTTTTTCCTTTCGAAAACAATAAATTTTCAAAAGCAATTGTCACCAAACATTTTGTTAACTACATTAAAAAACCCTTTATAATTTATTGTTACCAAATATATTTTTACAATTACAACTAACCACAACAACAACAAAAAGCGTACATTTTTTCTTTCTTTCTTTCTTTTTGCTAAACTAGGCTTTGGTCTGTATATCTCATAACAATTATCCAAAAAATAACATGAAGACAAAACTAAAAAAATTGAGAACATGGAATCAAATAACCGTGGCTCCATAAGAAAGGTCTAGAGAAAAAAATTTATGTTTTTAACTTTGTAGTTCCCTCGGTTTAATGCTAGTAGTTTTTCTCTCTTTTGGTGCCAAAGTTTCAAAAAGGATCCAACATATCTTTTTATAATTGAATATCCAAATACATGAACAAAAAAAAAAAATCCAACTTTTTTTCATTTTGTCTTGTTTTCATCTTATCTTTCCTTCTATCCAAAGTTTTATATATGTGATTTAGATCTCATAAATTTCTTTAAAAATAAAAAAACAATAAAAAAATAAAAATATAAACATCCTATTAATTTATGTTAGTTATTCAGCGAGTTAGGTGTCGCTTTTGAAACTTCAAAGTTGGTAATGAAAAGATTAATTAAAACTATAGAAATTAAAGTAGGATGTTGTTGAATTGTGTAGACTAAAAACAATACCGATGTCGGTGCATATAATTTTGGTCGGTGTTTGGGAGTAAAATGATCAAAGGAAAGAAAAATTATAAATATTAAAGTATTCCTTAGAATATTTGATCACCATATAGTAATAAAATTAAACATAATGACATTTTAATCATTCAATTCTAATTTATCGGTAATGGTTAGTCAGATAGAATGAGAATCGAGTAGCATATATATATATATATATATGAAGAAAAAGCAAAAAAAAAAAAAAAGATCGGGCTCACTAAATTGTATGAAATATGTTCAAGTCAATAAATTAAAATAAAAACTACAACAAAATTAATTATAATAAATTCTGAATAAATATATATAAAAAAGCAAATAAAAACTTATGAATTTTTTTATATGATTATTAATTTTTTTTAAAAAATTAAACTAAACTATCTAGAACACACACACACACACACACACACTCTCTCGTCTCTCTCTCTCTCTCTCTCTCTCTCTCTCTCTATATATATATATATATATATATATATATATATATATATTTTAAAAAATAAAATATTCATTTAAAAAGCATAAAAATAATTTATTGTATAAATTATAATAATATATATTTTTAAAAATAAAGCATCGACGTTCTAAAATTTTATTTCAAAATTTATATATTAAAAAACTAAATTTATATCAAAAAATTGATTTGATGAGAATTTTAATAAGAAACAAATAATTAAAAAAATAAATTTTAAACAATAAAAGTAATATAATCAAATATATATATTCAAACTAAAATTTTAAAAAATATCATAAATATTCTACCATCTTCAAACTGTACATAAAATTAAAAAAAAAAAATTTATTTTTTATATTTTTCTACATCTAATTTTATGATAATATATATAAAAAAAATACATGGTCAAGTGCAAGTTGCTAGGACAGGCTGCGCGCTTGGGCCTGCAATTGCAGGCTAGCACACCAAAAAAAAAATACTATAGTAAATGAACGGTAACAATATCAGATCTTTTAGCTATTTTTTTTTAGTAATATGCAATTGTGGTTCGAAATTGGTTTAATGGATCGGGATGCGATCATCCAATCATGGCTTTGATTACTTGGACCCAATCTAAACCTCGACTCGAGTCCTTGGCCCAGTTCTAACTTTGAATGACCCAATTTCTTATCCATTAGTCACTTTAACCATACTCCAACAAGCTCAAGGCTGTCTCACGAAGTCCAACTCGTAGTTTCAAATATATATTTTTTATATATATACTTTTAAAGAAAAGATATTACTATATTCGAACATAAAATAAAATAGTATATAAAATAAAATTTTATAACGAGGATTAAAATCACCATGTCAATTCTATATTGGAAGAACTTGTACGGTAAGACAAATTTGGTTAATTTCTTCAATTATTTAGTCATATATATTTTGATATTTTTTTTAATACCCCATTTAGCTATTTTTTTATTAATCACTTTACGACTTTTATTCCAATAAAAATCATCCTTGCAATAATTTTTATATTTGAAAGAATAAATTAACCAAACTTGTACTACAATCCTGATTATATTCAATTATAATTATGTGTTTCCAAACACGTCTCGTGTATGAATAGTGAGCAATGATTTTGAGGATTGAAAATGACCAAATTAACTTTTATTCTTTAGATTATAATAGTTAGCAATGATTTTGAGGATTGAAAATGACCAAATTAACTTCTATTCTTTAGATTATAGTATCTGAAACCAGGAAGGTTCCCATAACCAATCATGGCAAGAAACCAAGAAATGGCCCGCACAATGGCTTCTTTTCCAACGATGACGGAATGATTTCTCGCATAAGGCAACAGTTTTTTTTGGGATACAAAGGAGAGCTGACAGCTCTAAAGAGAAGCTGTGGCTTACACATCCTTTGAACATGATTTTAGAACATCCTCGAAAGGCTTCATCAAACGCCAAGACGACTCAACTAATGGATCTTTTCGGCAAAAGCTTTTATTTTATTTTTTATATAGTCTCTTTCCTAATGAATTATGCATTTTGTAGGTTGACATAGTAATTGCATCACCAACGGTTTAATGATGCATTTCTCTGGTTAAATTAAAAAAAAAATGTGACCAAATAAAATAAAATCAGATGATTTGATCACTCGGTAATTAATCATCAAACTCACGTACCCTCTATCAAATCTTAACAAATTTTAATTCTATAATATATTATTTATTTTACTTATTATCAAACTCATTATCTAAAAGTTATTATTTTCAATCTCAAATTATAATCATTTATTTTACTTAGAAATGGATTTAAAAAAAATTGAAAGTCTTTAATATTATATTTTAAGGAAATAGGAATTGACTGTTGGAAATATTAGAAGCCATTAATAGGAAAAATAAAATAGAGTAGAATAAATAAAAATTTCAATAGAAAAAATATTAGAAGCCATTATATGTTGTGGCTTGTAATCATTGTCTTTAAGAGAAATATATTTTATGATGCAACTGATTAAAAACGACTTACCTCTAAGGTACAATAACCGATCATATGAAAGGATACATTCGCTATATACAGACACAAATGAATGCTCAATCTCACTCCTTAAAAGAGAATGGTGTCTGAAAACTTTTTTAAAAAAACTATTTCTTTAGAGATAACATCATTGTTTTATTTCTCCTCTCCAACCAAATATTTATTCTTATATATATAAAATCAGAATAAATAACAAATTAATTATTAAACTATAATTAATTTTTTAATAAACTTATAGTGGCTAGTAATACCTATATAATATAGCTAGTAATGGTTATAATAAGTATTAATAATAATTAAAATTATTTAATATCATAATAATTAATTTTATTAATATTACCGTAGTTGTTCTTCCATTTAATAGCAAAAAAAAAAAAAAAAAAGTTTAAAAATGATTTTTTTAAAAAAACTATTTCTTAGGAAAAAATATCTTCGTTTTAATTATTTTCTCAGACCAAATGCGCGCTCAAGATTATGCATGCTTATATAGAAAGAGATTAAATAACAAATTAATAATTAAACTATATTTTTTAAAACTTACAACGGCTAATAACAGCCGTATATATAATAGCTAGCAATGATTTTAATAATTATCAATATTAATTAAAATTATTTAATATCAAAAAATTAATTGTCTTAATATTAATATAATTTTTTTTGTTTAATTTCTTAAAAATATTAAAAGGCAATTATTATAACATCTGACATGATGAAAAAAAAATCTCAATCAGTATGACCCATGTTAGAGATTAGAGTTATCACATCTTACTACATCGTTTTTGCTATCATTGTATAAATTAACACAATTTTTTTGCACTAATTCATGTTTTTTTCAAAAGATTTGTCCCGTAAACCAAACTTTATTTAAATTTAGATTAGCCTTTAAATAATATTCCTTTCCTAAAACGTATACCTTTTTTTTTAATTTCTAACACAAAAGTTATCACAATTTTCCTTTCACATCTCATTTTTTTCCTTTTTTTTTTTTTTTACCAACACAATTTTTAGTATCTCAAACTCATTTTTTTCATACATTTTTCCTTTTCTTATTCTTATATTGGTTTTTCAAACATAATTTATTTTAATTAGAAATGTCAAATGTGGTTGTTTATTTATTCACATTTTATACTTTAATATTTATGAATTATTTTTATATTAATTATTTTATTTTAAAATATCACATCAATAACTAAATTATCATGCAACATTTTCAAATATGAGAAGCTATTGTATATGGTTAAGAAATTTTTTTATCATTAATCTGCTCTCAATTTCTTTAATTTTGTATTGCCTTCCATTATTTAATAATTTTAAGATATATATTTTTTCAATTGTTGATGATTATTATTGAACCCCCACTCAAAAAATCATCTGTTCTTAATTTTAATGTTTTTTTTTTTTTTAATCTTCCAAGGTATCCTAGGTCTAGAAACCTAAATTAATCCCTCGTCGTTATGTCTAGTGTACAAAATGGAAATAACTATTTAGAGAATTTTTTTTTACATAAATAAGAACTCGAACTTGAAATTATTTATTTAAACGATTAGAATTTTTTCTATTCAAACCAATTTTCTTAAGTGTTGATCCTAATTGTTCATGTAGCTAAGAAAAACTCATCTTTATATATATATATATATATATATATATATATATATATATATATATATATATACACTTTTCTCTCTCTCTCTTTTTATTATTTTAAACTCCTGTAAAAGGGATAATAATGATAAAAAATATAAAGGATAAAAAGTATGCTCATTATTAGATTTATTAGATACATGTGTCCATTGTCAACCTGATTCCATGGGAATCTCCTTTGCCATAGATGATTTTTGTCCGTTTTCAACCATCATAAAAATAAACAAAAATATATGATCACATCAATTAAATAATTCGCATCTTTATTATCATATTATATTGCATCACTCCTTAATTTGTTTGAATCCATCATATTATATATATGGATTGTGGGTGGAGATAAGGACGCATTATCCCATCAAACTAAAACAAAAAAAAAATGTCCACTCGCTCTACAACTACCATTTTCTTGTCTCCAATTAATGGAAAACAATTGTCTCCTTTTATGAAATTTCATGATACAGATGGGAATAAAAAAATAGCAACGTAGGTAGAAACAATCCTAACATTAAATAAATGTACATAATAGTCAATATAGCATCCTAACATTAAGTCTCCTTAACCATATCGAATGAAGAATCATATGAATCATATCATAAGGCTTAGCTGGTCGATTCAACATAAAATGTCTTTGTACTTGGATCACTCTCCTCTGCATTGCAAGGTATCTTTCAAACGAAATCCCTTTCAAAATTGTTTTAATTTCCGGTATCTTCGCCGACGGAATGTCAACGGAGAATTTACTCCAATCAAGAACATCACTAAATGGCAATGTATAGTTATCAGAAATGGTCACAGGAACGCACCCCAGTTGAATTGCCGTTACCACTCTAGGACTTGCTACTTCATGCCCACTTGGGCACAAGCAAAACTTGCTTTGACCCATTAATTTGAAGTAAAGATTATTATTTTTCTTCCTTTCAGTAACGTACTCATGGACTTGAACCTCATCATCTTTCTCTTTCCACCGTTTTAACAAGACCTTCCTTATGCGACCATGAGCTCCGCCAGCGAAGAAGGCGAGGATTGAACGCTTACTTGGTGGTTGGCCACTTGCGCGGGGCAGTCCGAGCTTGCCAACCGGAAGGAAGATTTCCGGTATCGAGACATCTCTTTGGGGTTGGAACCCTTCTGATGTATTGGCATTGCAAAGGGCTCTAATAAAATACTTGAAGAGTTCAGGACTGGCTCTTGAGATATCTGGCCCCTGGCATAAAAGTTTGAAATTAATGCAGGCCTAGCTTTGATCAGTTTGATGTAACATTCACTTGTCAAAATACACCAAGTTACTTTCTGATCAAGTTTTAAACAAGTCATCTTTACTCGAAGTCTCCAATTAGTGTAGTTATAAGAAATTTCTTCCTTCGAAATGTTTTATAGGGTCCTATATGGTCTTTCCAAACATAAAAATGGTAAAAAGGAAGTTTGCGTTACCCAATCATGGCAAGAAATGGAGAAATGGTCAGCTCCATTGGATCTGTTCCAGTAATTGTGCTTATCAGCTATAATACGAACATAATCTGTGACCAAGGTTTGGAGTTGATCACGAGAGAGCGTGATACGAGGCTTGTAGATATAATGCATGATATAGGCCACACTTATGGGCAGAAAAAAAGCTTGTGCTTCGTCAGGATGGCGAGCAACAAAGTGGGTTTTGCCACTCTCAATTTCATCAAGAAATTGACCTTCAATGCCATAGATGTCATTTACTGGTCCACCATGGGCTACAGGTCTTTCTCCTTCCTTGTAAATCCATATCTTGAATCTTTTCACCATCTCTGAGTGACTCCTGAAAATGAAATTGATGAATATAATAACGTAAATAATTGAGTTTTAAAAGGAGAAACTTTTTTGACAAGATTAATTTGTTTCTTGTCAAACGAGGATTTCTTTTTCTTATTTCTTGTACGTTTGGATTATCTTCTGTCTGATTAACGTACAAGCAACAATCTTGGGTCCTCACAACTTGTTTTGGCAATAATTATTTGTCAATCTTCCTAGAAGTATCTTTGAATTATTAAGGGAAAGAAAAAAACTCTTAAACCTCAATTATTGATCTTGAACAACCACAAATTTCTCAACAAATTGCAGTGAGAAAACGTTCCAATCAGAGACGAATTTAATGGGGACCCCCAAAATCTAAAAAACATCGAAATAGTACTTCTGGTTAGGATAAAAAATTCAATAAGCACTACGAATTGGTCCCTACAAATTAAGAGTATCAATCACACTTTCGCCCCTAAAATCATGATTCACCCCTGATCCCAATCATTCTAGAGTTTTTGACAACTTCCCGAAAGTACCAAACAAATTAGCTTGTTCAAAACAAAAAAACTCTATTATATTAAATTTACTTAATGTTTTAGAAAATTACAAACTATATATGTTTTAATGATTTTAATTTGTTTTTTAAAAATTGTATAGAAAAGTCACCAATTAAATATCCGATAACAATATTAGCACCGATCTGATTTTTCGATTAAAATTCCAACCAATGCTAATATAACAAGTGACGAAATATAACATGTGAACTTTAACAAGTCATATAGGATCTACGTAAGCATAACACGTGGATTTTAACAAATCACGTAGGATCAATTATGTGTATTCTACGTGGGTTGCTAAAATTTACGTGTTATGTTTACATGAATTGCCATATCAGCGTTAATGAGAATTTTGATTGAAAAATCAGATCTAATACTTAATTGATTATCTTTTTATATAATATTTTAAAAACAAGTTAAAATTATTTAAATAATTGTATAGTAACTTCAAGTCTATTTAATTTTGGAAAGAAAGAAACCTTATGCACTAAATTCTAAACCCCAAAGCCTTGACTTTTGTCCCCACGGATTGGCTTCGTAAATTTAGATTCCCTTCCACTGCGGCAACTTGATGGGGTTAATTTTGACAGACTATTCTCTTGGCCAACTTGCGGCATGACTTTCCAACCATAGCCAGTCATGTGCAAATTTGGCAACGTGGTCCAGAGAATGTATAATGCTAGTGTCACTAGGCCAAGGTGAGTTTGTCTCTTTAGGGGCGATTCAGACCTGTCTCACTTGCCAAGTTCTATACTTTATATGCAATCATTTTAAAGTGGGGCTATAAGGGGCCAAGACGTTATTTGCCAATTTAAAAACCAAAAAAGCTTTGATGCTACTGTCGAGGAAAAAAATAGTAATTACTGCCAAGAAAAATATTACTCCAAACTTAACTGATGAAAAGCATATTGATTTCTGTAAATGGCTCCTCTCGGAATGTAACTCCCCTTCTTGTATGATGAAGAGTTCTTTGATTGAATTGCTCTCAAAATAGCTGCTCTTGCTCTAGCCAATCCATCTTCAATTCTCTCTAAACCTTTCTTCGTTTTCTGCCGACGAAATAAAAACAAAAATGAGATCGATAAATTAGAAAAAGAAAAAGAAAAAAGCAAATCAAGAACATAAAAAGAATAATTAGTCAGGCTCACTTTCTGATGCCTTGTAGCCACTGGAAATCTGGGGCTAAAAGCCACAGTACTATTCTGTACCGGCAATGGAATTAGTGATGATGGTGGTGATGGTTGAAGCCTTCCATCAAATGGGCTTGCTCTGATCTTCCAATAGATTTCTGCATCCTGCCCAACACCAGGAGTGGTGTTTGGTAGTGGTAGAACCAGAATTGTTGACGGAAAAGGTTCAAAATTAGATGCATAGAAAGAAGACAAGCGGCTGCGAATGTTGATTGGTTTGTAAAAGGGAGATAAGCAAACAAGAAGCAAAGTTGAAACAAAAGCTGATTGTAGCAGAAAATTTAAGGGAGAGCTAAGCGAAGTTGCCATGGCTTCTCTTTCAGTACCTTGTCATTTGGTTTATTTCTTGTGCTGATCATGTAGACAGAGGAGGAGAAGCATGTCGGTGTGATCTTCATAATTACATCTGGAACGGATCAAAAACTAGCAGTAGATTTAGTAGTGAAAGAGAAGATCCAGCAAGGATTACAGCTTGTAACTATTTGTTGCTAATGATTGAAAGTAGAATTAGATTTTTCACGTGAATTAACAATGGCAGTCGGCAAGCAATTGATTGGAGCAATAAATGAACCGGAAAATAGCCCCCAAAGTTTAATTGTGGGTCAAATAGACCCTCCTACTATCAATTTATTTTCTAATATTAATTCTCTTGTCCAAAATTATACCAAAATTACAATTGTAGCTGCTACTAACCTCACAATAGCATTTGAACCCAAAATATCAAAGAAAAATACAAACCGTTTTTTATCACCAGTCCAACAACCTTTTGACGTTAGTCAAAATTGATAGTAAAAGACTCAGGCTGAATCATAATTTTGTAAAAGGGTTGCCATGACCAAAATTTGAGAGTAAGAGTACCATGAATGATTTTTCCCATGATGAAATCTTTTTGTTTCATTTATAAAAAAAGAAAGAAAAAATCACCATTGTCGATTCTTCCCACTACGATTTCCTTTAGTCAAAATTGATATTAAAAAAGTCAATTTGAACCATAATTTTGTAAAAAGTTTAATATGACTAAAAATTGAGAATGAAAGTACCATTGATGATTTTTCCTATGATTGAAATCCTTTTACCTTAATTATTAAAAAAATAAAAAATAAAACTCAAAACGTTATATAATTTTGGGGAGGGGTTTCACCGACAAATCTTATTTGGACCGTTTTGTTCGACTTGTCACGAAGCAGTAAGGAAAAGAAACAGAAAGACTGATGGAAATATTTGCTTCACCTTTTTCTTTTTCTTTCTAGAAAGACATTATCCTTATTTTTTTAAAAAAGAAGAAGACAGACATTGCTTTAATTACTCTATATTATTACCACTGTAATACTGTTGCCTTTTTTTGGACACTCCACTGACAATTATTCTTTGGAATGTTGTCTGAAAAACAATGGATGTAAGTTCAGAGCACAGCTGTTTTTTCGTTCCTTAGAAAAGAAAGAAAGAACCAAGAATCGTTCTTCTCAAATGCTTGCCAATTGCAGAGAACATGACAAGAAAAGCAATTCTTCAAGCAAATATTACAATTCCATGAACTCAAAAGATCATGAATTTAATTTCATTAGAATGGCAGTACAGAGCCTTGTCAGATGGAGAAGAACAATCCTCTTTTAAATACTTCAAATACCAACAAAGATGCTTTATTTTTGTCATATTTTTCTTTTTCAATGCTTATTGCGTCACATAAAAATCCAAATTAATACAAGTCTACTTTTACTATTACAAAAAATTTCATGCCTTATGTGGTGGCAATAGCCTCCAACAGAAAGATCACGACACAAATGGGAATCAAAAAAATTTCACCAATTGAGAAAGGGGTGTGAAATGAGATGTAGAAAAGAAAAGGGTTTTGAATCTTTTGATCAAAACAATCAATATGGCAGCTTGACATTAAGCCTCCTTAACCATACCGAATGAAGAATCATATGAAGCATATCGTACGGCTGAGCAGGTCGATTGAGCATGAAATGTCTTCGAATTTGCATCACTCTTTTTTGCATTGTAAGATACCGTCGAATCGAAACACCTTTCAAAATTGTCTTAATTTCAGGTATCTTTTCCGACGGAATGTCAACCGAGAACTTACTCCAATCAAGAACATCACTAAATGGCAACGAATAGTTATCAGAAATGGTCACAGGAACACATCCCAATTGAATTGCTGTTACCACCCTAGGACTTGCTACTTCATGCCCACTTGGGCACAGACAAAACTTGCTTTGACCCATTAATTCGAAATAAAGATTGTTATCCTTTCTGTTCTTTCGAGTAAGGTACTCATGGACTTGAATCTCATCATCTTTTTCTTTCCAGCGTTCCAATAAGACCTTCCTTATATGACCATGAGCTCCGCCAGCGAAGAATGCAAGGATTGAACGCTTACTTGGGGGTTGAGCATATTGAAGAGGCGGTCCAAGCTTTCCCACAGGAAGGTAGATTTCTGGTATCGAAACATCTCTTTGGGGTCGGAAACCTTCTGATGTATTAGCATTGCAAAGAGCTCTAATAAAGTACTTGAAGAGTTCAGGATCGGCTCTTGAGACATCTGGTGCCTGTGACAGAGAAATTAAATGCAGGTTAAAATCCTAAATCCTAAGCAGAGATTTCGAATGTCGAAACATATAGTCTCTTCCGAAATGGAAAACGACGACTCCTAAAGGAAAAGGCAAGAATGAAGTTTGTCATCATACCCAATCGTGGCAGGAAACAGAGAAATGGTCAGCTCCTTGGGTTCTATTCCAGTAAGTGTATTTATTGGCTATAACACGAACATAATCTGTGACCAAACGTTGGAGTTGGTCACGAGCGAAGGTGATACGAGGCTTGTAGACATAGTGGATGATATAGGCCACACTTATGGGAAGAAGAAAAGCATGAGCTTCATCAGGATGGCGAGCAATAAAGTGGCTTTTGCCACTCTCAATTTCATCAAGAAACTGCCCTTCAATGCTATAGATGTCGTTTACAGGTGCACCATGGACGACAGGTAGTTCTCCTTCCTGGTAAACCCATACCTTGAATCTTTTCTCCATTTCCGTGTAACTCCTGAAGAAAAAAATTAATCAGTAATTTGCGAATATTATTATTCACTTTGCAGGAAATTATTGTCTTTCAAAGACAGTTTTGTCTCTAGTTTCTTGTACGTATTGTTCGTATCTCGTTTTGTCGGATCATATCAAGCGCGATTAGAACCTACTGGGCCAGCAGAAAAGCGACTTTATTGTCGCATTTTGATTTTGTATCTAATTTCTTTCTTTTTTTATTTATTTTCAATCACATCGAAGCTTTCTTACAAAAATTTCACAATCATTTTTGAACAATCAGTTGGAGATAAGGCACTGATTACTACGGTAATAAAACGTCCCAGTCGTTGAATAATTTGGAGTATTATCCACGCTCTACAACAACAGTATGTTATCTAATAATTAATCAAAAAACTCTCTAATACTAATTAACCAGCAAATTAATATAAATTTAATCAGAAAATATTTGAATTTTGTTTTAAAAAAATAACAAGTTACCAACACCTGCAAGCTACAGCTTCAAGCATAGTTGGCCCGTCGCCATTAATGCCCATAATGAAAGCTCTAACCCCAAAGCCTTGATCCTATCCTCACACATTGGCTCCATAAACTTAAAATACCATTCCTTGGGGCTTGCACCATTTACATGCAACTTGACGAGGATGATTTTGACAAGACGACCATTTTCTGGGCTAACTTACTTGAACGTGACATGCCAAATTTCTATAATTTCAGCATGACCGTAGGAGCACTAAGACAAATTTTTGCCCCAATAGAACTGATCTTTTTCTTCATATACCTTCCCTACCCTTTTCTCTCCCCACGCCACCGCCCCCACCCCCCAACACCACCACCCCCCCCCCCCCCCCCCAACACACACACACACACACACACACAGACACACACAGAACCTCAGATTCATTCGATTGTTAATTGCAGTAGTGGAAATTTTAGCACATGCTTATGCCCAGAATTTTGAGCAAAAGTGTAAGCAATAAAAAGGAGTTTCATGCATTCATTATTATTTGAAGTTCATGAACGTGGCAAGGAATATTAGCTGTTATCCAAAGATAAAAATAGAATGGTGACATGGCGCAGATCTTGAGTAAATTATAAACCAGTCCCTCTAGGTTTCCACAAGGAATATTTTTATTCCATCTAGTTGCAATAATTAATTAATTAATTAGTACCTTTATTTATATATCCATGTGTAACTTAACCTTTTTTTAAGTTTATTTTGTTTTATTGTTTCAATAAATAAAAATTATAGAAATATTGATAAGAAAAAAATAATATTAAATTAATCATAATATGCGTTGGTTAAAGGACCAATTTATAATTTACTCCACAAAACTTAAGCACTTAAAATAAATTAATTTCAGAGTCGGTTTCAAAACAAGGTAATCAACGACTAAATTAAAATCAATATTACGTACCAGAAAAAAAATAAAATAAAATTGGCACCCATGAATTCTATCAAGTAAAATAAGGAGTTGTTTCCACCTCTGTAAAACAGGCGATATGGGGTAAGACTGCAATTTTTGCCACTCTAAAGTAATGGCAGTGGTGAGGACAAATTTATGTCGTTGAGGGAAATTTCTGGGAAGAAAACAGTTTTTGAAAGTACTAATTGGCTTCTAGCTTGAGTACTGGTACGAAGCAAGAATTAATGGTGAAGCTTCGAACTTAAATCCGATAGCAAACATAAAAAAGAAAAAATGGTACTGAAACTTAACTGATGAAAAGCATATTTATTTCTGTACATGGCTCCTCTGGGAATGTAACTCCCCTCCTTGTATGATGAGGAGTTCTGTGACCGAACTGCTTCGTAAATAGCTGCTCTTGCCATAGCTAGACCTTCTTCCATTCTCTCAAAACCTGTCTTAATTTTCTGCACAAAAATCACAGCCACACACACCAAAAAACAAATCAGTAGCGTAAAAGCAAATCAAGAAACATAAACTATGAGGAAGAAAGCGTATTTGACACGGAGAAAAATCTTTAATCAGGCTCACTTTTTCATGCCTAGCACTACTATTCTGTACTAGCAATGGAATCGGTGACGGTGACGGTGGTGACGATGGTTGAAGACTTTCAGAAGTCTTTTCCTGTCCATATATGACACCAAAGAACAAATCAAGAAATCTATTTTCTAAAGAAAAGGATACAAGAAGAAGTAGAACTTTTTTGTGATGGATATGAATTTAGAGTGGCTGTAAAAGAATCATGAAACAAGCTTTACTTTGTTCTTCCAAGTGATTTCTTGATCATCTCCAACGGTGGTGGTGTTTGGTGGTGGTAGCAATAGAGCTGATGAAGGAAAAGATTGAAGCCTTTCAAAAGCAAGATTGCTTTTTCTATCATTATCTATACTGTAATTAGATGGATAAAAAGCAGAGAAACGGCCAGAAATTTTGATAGTTTGGTAATTGAAGGGAGAAAAGCACACAAAAAACAAGCTGAAAACAAGAGCTGATAGTAGTAGAAAACTTATGGAGGAGCTACTAAAAGTTGCCATCAGACTTCACTTTCTGTACTTTGTAGGGTTTATTTCTTTTGCAGATATAGACACAAGAGGAGATCAAGCATGGTGGTGATTCATAAGTTACACCTGAAGAGGATTAAAGACTTGATAGCTAGCAGAAGATACAACAATAGAAGGATCATCTTGAGAGTACAAAGTAGACTTTTCATGTGAGGAATGGTCAGAAATTGATTGGAGCAATAAATGATTTTTTTGCCTACCATATTTTTACCCCTATAGATTCATCGGTGCTCCATTTCTACCCCCGTTACTTTTAAATTTTCATTATTACCCTTAGAAGTTTTAAATCTTCAATTTTACTCCTGATCGTTAAATAACTTATGGAATGATCTTAAGATGAGCCCCTTTTTTGATTTTATGAGATATTACCACATGTGAAAATTTTAGAAGGATAAAATGAGAGAAAACTAGAAAAAAACACAAACGAAAAGGATGAAAAAGTGAGGTTTCCAAGCGATTTCAGTTATTATGGGTGATATTGAAACTTCTAGAAAACTACAAGGGTAATGTTAAAAACATTTAAGCAAAAGGAATAAAGTAAGGTGGAAGTGTGGAACGTTGGTATATAGGTTGTAAAAATGAATTTTGTATAACCATAGACCATAGTTTTGGGGTGAGAATAAATTGCCAATTTTGACTGATCCATATTTATATATAAAAATGCGATTTGATTGACTATTATACTCTTAATACAAGATTAATATTATAATATGTATGTCAATATTAATAAGAAAATTCAACCGCAAGTCTAATAAAGTAAAAGACCAATATTGGTAAAAAAAATAAAAAATTATTAATTCCTAAAAATAGGCTTTTTTTAAGAAGTAATACATAAAATATAGGTTAATTCCTTTTTTAATTATTTTATCATTTATAGACCACATAAAACTCTAAATAACATAAATAAGCTATTTTGATAGTCAAAATAAAGTATCAATAATCTGAAATATTAAATTACATCAAAATTCATCAAATTATTAAATTGAATCCTTAGATACTTTTTTTGTAGGTTATTTGTTATTTTCATATATTATTTTTACTCTTTAGAATTGATAGTATTAAAAAAATCAAGATTTATTAAAAAATAACTTATGAAAATTTTATTCATGTATGCATTGTTAATTTATAATCACGTCAAACATAATTAAAAAAAATACAAAACACAAGTGTTCATAATAATATAATGTTGAGTAATTTTTTTAGTAATTATTATTTTTAAGAATTATATATATTTATCCTAACTATTAATGATCAATTTTTAAAATATATTTCAATTGTGTCTCTAACTCTTACTTATATAAAATAATTAATTATATCATAAAGTTCAAAAGTTAAGCAAGTTACTGCATATAAGATCATTTGAAAATCAAACATGTTTATTAAATATAATTTATTAGACATTCAAATTTATTCATTTATAAATAATCTTAAACAATTTATTATAGAATTAAATAAAAATACCGTCAAGAAACTTGTCACGACATAAATTAATAGATTGAGAGTTACCGTTTGTTCTACAGTACCGAAATGGTACTTGGGTTTGTCATGATCTCAAACACGAAGAAGGCATTGCAATCTCTAAGCACTTCTTCCTCTTCCTAGATTTTTGCCTCCACGCATGGGTAGATACTTTTATTTCAGTAAATTATAAATTAGTCTCTTTATCTAATCTCAGTATTTTTATTTTTTATAAATTAATCTTTTTATTTGTTTCTATTTTCAAAAATTAAAAAAAGGAAAAAATAAGTAAAAATTACGTAAGGATTGATGAGAAGAAAAAAATTCTTAAAATAAAAAATAATATTAAATTAAAATACTAATCAATAAACTAAATAATTAGTTTTTTTAAAAATTAATTAATTCATTTCTGAAAACAAAAATGCCAATACTTTTTTGGACTCTCCACTAACAATATTCTTAGAATTTTCTTTTCAGTAGAAGTTTTAATTTTTTTTTTTATGAATACTGGTCAGAAAATTTAAATTAAAAAATCCACAATGAATGCAAAATTTTTTTAATGGTCAGACTAACCCAAGGTAAGCTAGAAATAGAGTCTACTTTATTTTTTATTTTTACAATATATCTAATTTATCTATTCTTAAATAATTATAAATTTTATTTTGCATTTGCGAGTTTAATCTTGGTTTTTTTTTTCAACAAGAAGCCGAGGATTACAAACTGGGTCCGTGTTCCAAAAGACGTATTAAAAAGAAACAAAAAGCTTGACATAAAGAAAAATAAAAATATGCATCCACGTGACCGTGCTATGTATGACGCCAAAGGAAGAGGTTCCTTTTCAAGGCGGCTATCAACGAATACAAGGCCGCCTGCCACTTGCCAGCCACCAGCGAGCCAGCCCCCACAAGGAAGGTAGAGGCATAAAATAATTGAGACAAGATTTCTCCAAAAACAGTTACACATCTTACTCAACGCTTTGCGAACAAGGCTTCAATAAAATGTTTTTGCTTTTCTTTTTCTTTCGAGCAGTTGTGTATCTTGGGTTCTTCTAAATCCAGAGTAAAATATAAATTAGTCCTTTTCATTTCAAAAAATAAATCAACTAATCTTTTTTATTTCAAAATTAATTATTTAGTTTTTTAATCAATATTGACTATGATTAATTTTATATTTTTTATTTTATAAAATATCTTTTTATCAATCTTTTTATATTTTTATTTATTTTTTATTCTTTTTCTATTTTTAAAATAAATTTAAAGTAAAAAAAACTAAATTATTAATTTTAAAAACTCAAAGGGATTAATTAATTTATTTCTTAAACACAATAGAGACTAATTTATAATTTACTCTTTAAATCCCAGCTAGTCCATCACGACTTGAGACCATCATAGCCGAGTAAATTATAAATTAGTCCCTTTATTTTGATAAATTAATTAATTAATTTCTCTTGTTTGAAAACTTAATTATTTAATCCTTATGTTTTGAAATCTATTTGTAATTTAATATTTTTGCTACTTTTAATTTAATTTATTTTTATTGTTAAATTGAATACTGTCAACAGTTGATTAAAGAAATAAATGATAATTTTTTTAAAAAGGGACTAATTGGTTTATTTCTTAAAACTAAAAGAACTAATTTATAATTTACTCATCATATCGTGAGTCATGTTTTTTTTAACCGACGACCGTCCATCTTGTTTTCTGGACCTTTACAATTAGTCCTTTGTGAATCGAGACTAGTTGAATCAGGTCACACCAATAGTTTAATAGTTCATTTTTATTTTTATTTTTATTAAGAAAAGAGGCTCTACACCTTGTGGCTGGTGGTCCTAAAGATTACTTATAAAAACTATCTAAATGTGAGACTTAAATGATATTTTTCAAATCTTAATAATTTGTAAACTTTTTTTTATTTTTCAATTTCTTGTTGAAATTATTACTCCATTTTTTTCTTCATTGTAATTTTTTTATTTCATTCTTTATAAATCTATACATATATCTTAAAGCTTTTGAAAGGTTTTATTTGTGAAGTCATGGCAAAAGACAACTTATAAATTTCTTTTCTTCCATATTAATTTTTCGTTTCTTATTTTTCTTTTTTACTTTAAATATTTACTTTTCCAAATCAATCTTATTATTTGTGAATATTTTAAAGTGATCCCTAATGATTAAATAGTTACAAGATGATCAAATGTAGCTCCCATTTTTCCATCCTTTTTTCACTTCTTCTCTGATATTTTTCTTCCTGTTTGAGATGTTTTTCTATAAAATATTTTTTAAATAGCCAAAAATATCTGGTTGATGGAATCCACTTATGCCATGGATAAATACAGAGAAACAAAAAGCGGGTGGGCCACACACCACCATCGTATATGAACAAGAAAAAATATTTAGCACAATCCAAAATTTAATAAATTAATTAGTTTAAGCTGGTAGTACTGATGGCATGTTATTTTACCTTCTAAGTATTTCATAAAGAATGTCTTTAAGAAAATATCGTAATTACACGAACTAAAAATTCATGAGTTTAATTACATTGTGTGTTTGTTTTTGTTTTTTTTTCCCCTAATCGATGATCCACCAAGTATGATTCCATTTCAGGGGACCCTACCATTTTCCGCCATGCATGACCTATCATTTTTATAACATTTGGCCAAGTGACCGCGGTCCCAGAACCGATCATCGTCCACGTGTACACTTCAATAGCAAATGAACTTTCTAAAACAATTAAAAGAAATATTAGGTATAATTTAGTTATAAAAATGAGAGATTTGTAATAAAAATACAGAAATCAAAATAAAAAATTAAAATAATATTCATATTCTCATACTATATTTGAAATAATAAAAAATATCAAAATAAAGTTTAAAATTTTTAATATTTAATTTTTAAAATGAACAAAAATAAATTTATTAACTATAATAATAATAAAAATGATTGTGTCAATGGTGGAGTAGAAGGAGAAGGAAGCAGAGATTGTATTAATAACAATATATTAATAATACATTTATTTTTATTAGATAGAGAGCCATAGTCCTAGATAACATGATTAACTAGTATAATATATCGAGAAAGCTATTCCTTTGATATCCTCTTGAATTAGTTTTACACCATACCCCGGTACCTCTAGAAAATATATGATGTTGAGAGGTAAGGAAAAAGCAAGAGATGCCAACTAATCTGCCAATCTATTTGATTCCTTATAACCATAAGTGAGCTGAACTTGTCTAGCTCCTTGTTAGAATCTCTTGAATCGTTGCAACCAAAGTACTATAAGAGCTCATTTTCCTTTTCAATGTCATAACTAAACGAATAGCCAACAAAGAGTTAGCATTCTACAACAACACGACGGTACTCAATATTCCAAGCCATCTTTAACCGAGTAAGGACATCTCATAACTTTGCATATAAAACAGAACATGAGATGATACCATCACTATAAGAGATGATAATGGAAAAAAATGTTGATGGTGATAGTGCGAGAATGAATGATGGCATGATAATAATATATAATAATAATAATAATAATTTTTTTTAATCATCGCCGTTAATATATAGAGGTGGTTGTATAATAATTAATTAGAGTAATGGTAGTAGTTGAGGAAAAGCGTTGAAGGAATAATAATAATAATAATAATAATAATAATTTTTACAAAATAATTTTATATCACCATTGTCAATGAAGGTGGCGA